ACTGGTTTTCAAACAGTTTTCAACGTATTACTCAACTTGCATGTACAGTCTGCCATGCTGACACGAATGGCGCAAATCGATAGTTCTAGAATCGACCCCGGTCCCATTCCATGCAGTAAAACAATCAAACATGACATTATTTAGTTTTCGTGTCAACGATGAAATTTCTTTCCTATTATAAGACTACGATTAGACTGCTGAAAAAATGGAATAAATACATCACTGACTCAAAATAATACATCAATAAACTTTCAGTCAAGGATGCTGTTCACAACCAAGTTATGTAGGAGAATCGACTTCAAGCTTTATTTTTCCCAGATATTTGTATTACATTCATCTGATGTCTGGGTTCTTTGTTAATGCGGAGACAATATTTCTATATCTCTTTATGTGTTACACAGACTGACTATTTTGCAGACTGTTCCGACTGACTGTAATGTCAGAAACAACTACCAAACTGTGAATTCACCATGCATCGAAATATGTGTAATTTATATAATAACTTATCTATGCCTGCACAACTGGTATGTTCCTGCATAAACAGGAATAAATCTATATGAACCAATTAGTTATCGGAATTATAAGTCAACGAGATTATATTCTAATATTCATTTTTTGAAGGTAAACCAATTTGAATTAATTCCAACACTTCCTGGCCAGAAATACCAGAGAAATGAGAGATTTATATAACTAAGCACACGTACAGCACTAATCGAAAAGCTACTCTACAGGCACAGATAAGTTTTTTTAAACTACATAAATATGGTTTATGGTGAGTTTACACCGTTGCTGTCCTTTGGACTTTAGCTCGTGGGAAAAGTCTTTTACCTAGTCATTCAGCAGAGCACATTAAGAAATATAGGGTATTATCTTCGCATTAACAAAAAATCTAAATCCGTTTCGGATGGATCATAAATACTTGGGAAAAATAAACTTAGAAGTCGATTCTCCCACATAACTTTGTCGTATGCGGCATCGAATCTTACTACTGATTTATAGCCATGTTGGGTATTAATTTTTAAATTAAGCAATATATTTGTATGATTTTTTCAGAAGTGTCGTGGCGGGGTAACATCAGAAGTTAATTGTGCTACATGCAGATGAATGCAGGCCATAGCCAGGCAGATTTGTTTTACTGCGCCAGGTTCAGCCACTACCGCCGTTAGTAGCTGCATGGCGCTATGTAAGAGCCAGTTGACTAAGGTTTAGAAAGCTATTAGTAAGCCAGTTGCATCTTCATTTTAGTTCAGTGAGACTGCTCTTACAGAATGTTATTCGGCTTCTCCAGTCGGTGACATTAAAATACTAATGGGAGACATAAATGTCATCCTGGGACCAGATAACACAGGAAGAGAACTCATTATGGGTAGAGAAGCTCTTGGAGAAATGGACGAAAACGCAGAACTCTTCACTGAATTCAGCACATTCAATGAACTAGTGATAAGTGGCAGCCTATACAAGGTTGTCCACATGGCTACATGGTTGTCACCAGACAGGAGAACCAAATACAAAATTAACTTCATCTCAATGCTGCTCAAGGAAGTGGAGACGCAGCTTACTGGACACAAAAGTAAGAAGGGGATTAGACGTTGGCTCAGACCACTGTCTGGTACGAGGAACACTCCAAATCAAATTAAAAGCTTTCAGAGAAACAGTAGCTGCAGATAGACCACACGACAAGTTCAATACTCAAAAGCTGAAGGATCAGTCTACATGAGACATCTTCACCGCAATCATAAGGAAAAAGGCATAGAAAAAAATCAACGCTAGGGAAGTAAATTGAGTTAATAAACTCTGGAAGAACCTGAAAGTGGTATTGAGTCAACAACTATACCTCTCATCCAAAAGTTGTACGACAATGCTACATGCGAAGTAATCCACAGCGGGAAACTCACGGGGTCCTTCAAAGTGCAGATCTGAGTAAGACAAGGTTGCCTAGTATCTCCAATGATTTTCTTGATTGGATAATGCGACAGACGGTGGCCAGCGAGGAAACAAAATGGACCCACATAAAAAAATTGGAGGATCCGGACTTCGCCAATGATATATGTCTGACTTCCCACAAAATGAAAGATATGCAAGTGAAAAGCAACAAATTGTCAGAAGAAGCACCAAAGATGGGCATTCAGGTGAACATAGAGAAAACAGACGTGATGAAGATTCCTGGCCAACAGACAACATTCAGCATAAATGGGAGGAATCTGAAAGAAACAACCTCCTTTACCTACCTGGGAAGCTTCGTTCCAACTACAGGCGGAACTGACGAGGATATCAAAGTGAGGATCCGGAAACCAAGGCAAGCTCTCGTTACCTTCAAGTCTGTGTAGAGATCAACAGCACTCAGCATGAAGTAATAAAATCCGGATTTTTAACTCTAATGTGAAGTCTGTGCTACTATAGGGATCAGAGACTTGGAGCGTCACGAAGAGCACTTCGAACAAACTACACACCTTCACCAACATCTGACTTCGCTCAATACTCAAGATCAGATGGTCAGAAAAGATCAGCGACAGAGGTCTCTGTGAACGAACCAACCCAGCAAGAACCAATTGTGCAACAAATATGCAGGAAGAAATGGAAGTGGATTGGCCATACTCTGCTAAAACCACCAAGTGACATCACACACCAGGCCATCGCTCGAGTGGAACCCGAATGGGAAGCGTCGAGTTGGTCGTCACTGAGAGGGTGGCATGGAGGAAGTCATGTGAAGAAGAGATGAAAGCATGTGGGCAGACGTGGAGCCAAGTGAAAACGTTGGTGGAGAACCGAACGCAATGGAGACGGGCACCTTCAGCCCTATGTTCCTCTAGGAATTGAAGGAAACAATAATTTAATGTTATAATATGCTTGTACAATTGATGTGTTCCTATATAGATAGGAATAAATATATATTATTATATTAAAATGATAAGCACGCGATTCACCTGACTTTCTGAGAGTCTTATCCAACTGCTCAAGGTAGGGACAGGTAGCTTGAGTATCTTGTGCCTGTTACTTGGAAGAGGTGGCATCCGGTCTTCTATTAATACAGCCTCTTCCACCGTGCTGTCTGCCATAAGTTATTGCAAGAGATGCAAGTACTGTTTCAGAAACTCGTCTCATACGTCCATTCCTTTAAACAATTTCAGACACGAAGTGGCGTTCTACCAGCCCGCCTTTAAGCACCGTATGTGGTTGTGTGATCGGAGTGTGAAGTATGTGTTCTCACACCCCTTCGCCAGTATGATAGGGTAGCTCTAAGCACACGTCCCTGCACGTCGTGGTCACAGAACTGGTGCTATATTGGTCAAAGTAGTCCTCTAGTTGGGCGGACTAAAGTCCCGTACCATGTCAATCAAATTGAAGTAACCCTACTCTCGTGGTCATTTATGAATCTACGTCCACGAAAATGGAATTTTTAGAATAAAATTCCATGGTTGGTAAATAATACATTGAGACTGACAAAGTAAAGATAGAAAGTATGTAGAACAGAAGGGCCTGAAATGAAACAGAAAGGAGAGAAATATGTATCACAGTTAACTATAAAAAAAGAGAAGGCTTATTGTGAATGAATCAAATTCACTAATTTAGTAACCAACTCTTCTGTCAGAACGGTTACTCAGACTATTGAATTACAGCACGTATAATTGCCGAAGACAACTATAAGTGTGGAAGCACAGCGGCGGCCAAGGAAAGTGGGGAAGCCTAGCCAAATAAAACACGGCTAAGGATTCATTATTGTCGCTCAATAGGGAAAGAAAGCCTTAGAAAGAGGATTTGGTTCCTACCTGGATCATTTTACCCCAGCTTTACCCCCTGAGTTTTTCAAAAAGTCATTGTAGGCCCTTAGTCCTTTTATTGCTCGTCAGTGAACTACCAAAGAGACTGTGTGGTCCAACACTCAGATTTCTTAAGAATTTGAGGAGCCGCGGAAACACACATGAAGGATATCTCCACAGATATCTGAAGCCTACGTGCCACCTTATCTGGAGAACCACAAACTTTTGGCTTCAACGCTTCTCCAAATAGATACAGAATTACTGGAAAATAGGGGAATTAGAGAGAGCATCGCAGACAGCGGGTCTTCATCGTGAAGAAAAATAATGACAGCCTTTAAAATTTACGCCACTATGCAAATGCCTGACTAATCACCGCCTACAAACGAAATGATGTAGTTAGAGTGACTCTTCCAGAAAACCACCGTAGACTTGTGGAAATCCGGCGAAAGCAGCTCGTCAAAGGGCGAAAATTCTGCTTCGTTCTATCTTCTTTCCACTTCGAGTCCTAAGTGCCTTGGATGCACCGTGTTAGCAGCAGTATCAGTGGTGGGTTCAAACGGTATATAGATCGTCCGTGAGGAAACTTACATATCTGGACTAATTGGCAGTTAGCCAAACGGACAGTTTCACGTGATGTACTTCCCGATTTTCTATTGTTATTCTTGACACCTTCAAAAACGAGCATTGTAACATTTGCCACGTACATCTGTTCGACTTAACCAACCTTGCATTGCACATGGGAACTGCGGTACAGAAATCCAGTGAGCACCAGGAATCGTCCCACGGAAATGAAAAGGTAGTGTATGTAAATCGGTCCGGCTTACGCTGGATGTTAACAAGGATACTAGATAAAGGAGTACTTGATTTGTGTTGGTAGCCCGCTAAGAAAGCAGTCGTATTTTATTCCATCCAACAGTTTTCTGACACCATTAACTCTACAAGCCCCAAAATTTTGTCAAGTGATTCTCTCTCAAGTAAGGTTAGTGTGGGTCAAAGATTTTGCCAAATGATGTCCCACTGTCTGCCAAACGATTTAATTCTTTGTTTAAGCCTCCAGTGTTAGACTCACAGAAGAGCGAAAGGCCTGTGGTTCCGAAGTTCTGCTTAGAGCTTCTAAGATAATAAACGCCAACCACTGTTTAATATTGTGGGATGAGTCTATACTGTATGAGAATAAAGTAAATCGAAGGACCTTGAAATTCTTTGTTATCTGCCATGACCTTGAATACTTGACCTTCATATATGCCTAATACATCGCATTTATCACTATTGCATGATAGGAATTATAACGTCAGCGTTGTCGGGCTCCCAGGTTCTGGGAAATCATGTATTTGCAATAGATTTGTTTTCCGTCATCCGGATTTTTATAATAAAGTGCATCAGTCTACCACAAACAACCCCGATTTACACAGTGTGGATGTAAATAAAGACTATTGGCTGTATTGGGGATGTGTTTGTAGACAAGTCAACGAAGATATTGTGAAATTTCGAATTATTGAGCAAACAAGTTTTTTAGATGGTGTAGCTTACTCACCATTCAAATACTCAAGGTGTGATGATGGCCACAACCAACTACTTGAATACATACATCGAAGTACCGAAATTCGCTTGCTGCCTGAAAACAGGCTAAGTTACATTTGTAATGGAAAAAATGGTGAGAAAGGGTCTCTGCTTGATGACCTCTGTACATCTGATGAAGTCATAGTTGATGGCTTTATTTTAGTATGCGACGTTAGCGGCGAATCACGGAACTCTGAATGTATTGATGTTAGCTGCTTTTGCAATAATGCTGCTATTCAAGAGTTTCTGGCTTGCTTGCTGAAAGCTCGGAAGCCCGTTGTAATGGTGCTGTCTAAATTGGATAACTGTGATATTTCTAAGCTGGGAAGACTAGAATTTTTCCGCAAATCAAGTGAATTCAAGAAAATTCCCGTTATCGAAACGTCGGCACATGAAAATATCAATATTGAAGAGGCATTTATCACTCTTTTTAAGTTAATGGAATCCAAATTCCGCGTTTCTAAGTTCAAACATACACCGTATCTAGATGCCGTTCATAAAAGAACTGAGGAGATACAATCTGCTATGCATGCGTTTATACGCCTGTTGCTTTTATCTCTACCTGAGTTTTTAACTGACTGGAATAGTTTCTTGGCCAGATACAGCCATCATACTGATGTGGTGAACTATATCAACTTGGTTAGTTCTTCAAACGCAAGACGTAAATTTGAAACAGTAGTTCAGGAACGTCTCAGAACAGCTAAGCTCCATTCTTTAGATAGAGTTCCAGGCCTTCTCATGCATCTACTTCCAAATCTGGATGCTGTACATGGTTTGTAAGTCAATTTGTTGTTTGCTTGTAGCAAGTTTAGTTGGGTGTGCCTGGTTTTCTAATTTGTGGAACATATGTACATAACCTAGTTTCACTTTGCGAAGTTGTTTTACTGGGTACATTATCTGTTTAATATCAGTCTTCCTCCCTGTGAAACAATTTAATGATATTACCATCAGTTTTTACTGTGTGCCTTTTAAGCAATTTTTATTATCCTTTTGCACAGTGTAAGCGTATTATACCAAGTATCTCTACAATCTATACTGTTATGTTGACATCCAACATAGTCTTTGCGAGCTAGTTGAAACCAAGTTGATATTTTCGTGCTCGCTTATCGATTGTGAGGTAGAGCTTCCTCGTCTCCGATAAACTTATGCGTGGTTCTTTCAATCATGATCACATTTGGTTTGTAGTATGTCGTGTGTGTAGACCGCGTCGCTGCTGTGAATGCAGTCGATCGTTTCACCCGTTAGTCGTCCGGTGTGATCAGAAGGAGAGATAATAGTAATAGATATAGTTAGTGCAGAATTTGTAGAGTCAAAAAGGAGGAAAGAAAACGTGTATTTATTCTTTATTTATTTAAACGCAGAAAAACTTGGTACAATATGGCACCAAGAAAGATGCACCACACAATATTGTTTGAGGGCTGAGATACTGCCCGGGCGCCCAGACCGAAGCAGGTGGTTTTCCTAAGGGACCACCCCCGAGCCTTTGACTTGGAGTCTAATCCGCAAGGCAGCGGAGCTGCGTTCCCATGGTTGCCGGTAACCCATATGGGTTCATACGCCATTTGATCCGATTGAATTCTGGAGCCCATGTACCCCATGGTAACTGCTTTTAGTCTAACCGCTATTCAAACAACCTTCCTGACATGGTAGGACCTGCAGGGACATGAGTCCCAGCCAGTTTAGCTTGTTGGGTCACCACGGCAAGGTAGCAGTTATCGGTCGGGGGAAAGAAAACGTACAAACAGATGGTTAGTGAAGTCTGAAATCAATATATATATATATATATATATATATATATATGAGTAGATAGAGGGATCAAAACAGTGAGGCAAGGGAGAATGGGTAGTGGTAAAAGGACGAGTTCAGGTGTATGCGCACTAATTTACTATTTACCCCATAACGCCTGAACTCACTGCCCATGCAAGCAACAGCAGCATACGCAGGGTACATTGTGCATCTATTTAGATTCTTTTTCTGTTTAGCACGTGTCGTTACACAAGCTGCTCCACAGACTGAACTAGTCCCAGAACAACTCACTTAGACGTTGCTTCTCACGTCCCAGAACAATCTAGGTGTATCCCCGCCAGCAAATCGCGATTGGGCACATCGAAAGCAGTGACTCTTGCGCACTGAAGACAGCCTATCCTGCCTCATGGAAAAAAGATTCCAACCGCCAATCTACTCCCTAAAGTAAGAAACACCGTTTCTGATTGGCCGTCATGCCAAATGCCCCTTCCAACAGTCCGTGATAGGGTTACCAACCATCCACAGTCATTCTTTAACCGTGAAGCAAAGTTAACCGGTTCCAACCCTCTCGCTCAAAGTTCCAAATATCTTCGGTCCTCTGAGGCCCCGTATCTCCATATAGAGCTAAAGGACAACCCAGTCTGTTTGTTCGAGCTGAGTAGCTGGTTGTGAATATTGTTCATGCTTTCCACCATTGCACATGCTCAGTTGAGTTTTTTCATGTTGATAATTGGAGCACCGGACAGAATATACATAGAGACGCCAATATTAGAAAAGTATACAATGGTCACAGAGTTTCATGTCTATCACCACATACAGGGTGTCCTCGGTTTCCGGCTCCTCATGCTCACATCATCATACCGTCTCAATCATAATTAATTTTATCAATCGTATTACACTGCCCTTCATGCATACAACAAATCCACCATACGCCAAAGTCCGTTGGTTTTCGCATCATACTTTCATACATATACCATTCATTAGGGCAGTACAATGCCAAATACACGCCACCTATATTTATTTGGGTTTTTTGGGTTTTCTAACAGTTTTGTAAATTTAAAAAGTTATAAATATGTATAACATAAATTATCTTAATAAAAATATATATACATGCATCATTCTCTAGATTCTCCAGGAAACATAAATAAAATACATAATAAACATAAATGTCTACTTACGTTTATACATTTACTTGTATATTTACTCAATATACTCTGTGTCATGAGTTAAGTAAACTGTTACCAACGTACATACGCGTCATAGCAAATCCACGATCCAATTACTGCTCGCTCGCAAAGCCAACTGATGCGCACGAGTGGAACTTCTAGTTTTTTATGTAGTGTTCTCTCTGTCCTATTATGCATGATTCCCCTCATGCTTATGACGACTGGCATGTGTATTACCTAGTTTGTGTAGTACCCTCTTTCAATAAACAGGTTTCTTTCTGACTCATTTAAATCATTTAGGTTTGTCACGCTTTTTTATTTTGTCATTTCATGGTGAAGTTAGTCTGTGGTCGGCACAGATTTTAACATCTAGGACGTATGTTTTGTCATATTTATAAGCAACCAAGTCAGGTTTGCTATACGTCGTATATTCTTTGATTTTAGTTTCCGATATCGTTTGATATCCCAACATATGCAAGGTTACCCTCAGTTTATTTAAAACTATAATGTCTCATTATCCTTAGTCCATGCAGTGCACAACAGCTTTGTAAGATATGCGTTTGCGTTTCTACTTTGTCACATGTGGCTTTAAATCTGAAGTTGCCAATATCTCTGTTTTTTCTGGATTCACGTACTTTGGTCTTTAGAGACCCCTCTCTTAATTGAGTAGCTTGTTTATATACTGAAGAGTACATTTCACCTGGATTTTTTACCCAGCCGTGTGATGCTTTGCTTTTACTTGCCCATTTAAGACGCTTACCATCTGAAGTTCCGACAAGCTTATTTTTCCAGAACTTTCTGATGGATTTTTTATCATTCGTTAATACTTGACCTCTTATTATTTTTACCGTATCGTTGAATGTCTCACTCGAATTGATTTTATTAAATAGTGAACATTCTCGTTTCAGTGATTCCTCTAGTCTTTGTTTCATTTGCATAGGTACGGTATGCGATAAGGATTCCAAACTGATACCTCCATCCCTGCACGCATATAACTATTTGGAGTATCATGTGGAAGTCGTAACTACTCTCTCACACGCTTTCTTATGATTATGTCAACTCTTTCTGTCTCTAACGTTCAAATCATTCCCAACTATAATTTATAGTGGAGTCTTGGCATTATGTAGGATTTAAGAATATTCAGTTTTTGTATTACGTGTAGAGGTGCTTGGCTCACCTCTCGTAGCATTTCATTTGCATAATTTATCATTTTATTGGAGTTAATACCATTAATAGCAAAGCCTATGCTGAGGTATTTAAATTCATTATTTGTTTTGGGGTGTCTAATGCTTGTCCCGTCGACAGAGTATACAGCATCACCTATGTACGACTTGCCCTCCTTTCCGCGTCACACTCTTGTTTTAAGGACTTTGTCAAATTGATCCGGAGGCCACATTTCTCCAGGTTCTTAGTCAATTGCTTTAGTTTTATTTGCATACCAAGCTTAGGTGTTGCAAATACTATCAGATCATCTGTGTACATAATAGTCAACTAATCCGTTGCCAATTCATATACCCTTGTTCGAACTAGATAGGTTAACTACCTCATTCATGTCCATGATGAACAGAAGAGAGGAGAGAAGGTCCCCTTACCGTATCCCTCTGTTTACATGATATCTACTACCAATGGATTCTACTACTGCGTTATTATAGAATGAAGCTATATATTTTACCAGTGGTTCTGGGGTTCCATATGCCTCCGCGGTTCTTACTATTGTATCGTGAAACATTGAGTCAAAAGCTTTAGACTTTTCAACTAGTAACTGGTCACTAGTTAGGATATAATCCAGTTTTGATAACTTTCCACTTGGACTCTAAAAAGTGTTGTGTTAATCCTGCATTTCTAATGGTGTGTAGCCAGATTTCGACAGGATTTTCCTTGAGCATAACCTGAGGCAAGGTTAAGGGATGGGACATTGAAGTCCTCAGCTATAGGGATTTGGTTATAGCCCAAGTGATGATGCTGAGAAGTAGCTGGTTGTGTTCGGCTCTACAGGAGAGTGATCAACAATTGCCACCCAGTAAATGCTTGGTGTGGCCTACGGTGAAACGGTACTTTATGGAGACTGGGAGTTCGGTAAATAGTGGTCCCGTTGTTCGTGGCCATCTAAGCTGCTTGTTAGCGTATATGGCTACCCACCCCTTTGTTATTCCTGTCTCGTCTGACCTGATCCATATCACCTACACTGATTTCATTGTCGGTGATATTATGGACTAACCAGGTTTCTTCCAGGATTATTATTTTGAAGTGTGGGTATGATTGGCGATTTCTGAGTTAAACTATTTTTTCTCTCAGCTCTCTCACTTTGCTAATGTAGACAATTGATAATGAGTTCCACCACATCACTGTTGTGGTGTGGTTGACGCTATGAATTTCGCTGGTTGAGGAGCTAATGTTGGGACTAATTGACTGATTTAGATGGAACCGGACTGTTGTCGTATTTTACTTTGGATTCGGGTAGGACACTTGGATGACTTTGACTGTCATTCTCAGTGCTGCGCCGCTGTAGTGTCACTGAGGTTCGGCGGGGTATTGTGACCTTGGTTCGCTTCCTCCTCGTAGCCCAAGGTCTGCTTCCGCAGCATAGGATGTCCTCCCATTTTACCCTTGGTTTCTCACCACTGTTGAAGCACTGTAGCCAATTGCCCCTGGGAGCTGAATTTGACAGCTAGTAGCTGTGGTGAGCTGACCAATGTGAAGTAAGCGGGACGAGGTAGTCTACAAATTGAAATTACCCCAGATGCACCAAAGACCATCCGAGACGACAGCCATCCTCTTCGCCGTACATCCTGCATGTTTCTCACAAGCAGTGCCAGTTCCCAGCTCCGGAATACTATGTATGACCATAGAGGTGGAGCGCAAGAGAGTGACTCCTTTTTCATTTTCCTGCCTGCCCACGGCCTATCAGGTTTTATTCTTATGTTGGTGCTCTTGTCTATAGCTAGTACTTATGACATTAATAATATATTTTCAGCTTCAGCAGAGCTCAGTTGTCACCCTTACCTTGAGGTGTCTGAACACCCTTGTACAGTTCGCGCAGTCTTACGGACTTAGTGTTAATCCCTAATGCACTGCACAGATTAGACCATTGTTCCTGGTCAATCAGTGTCCTTTGTTCAAGCAGACTGTTACTGTACGCTGGTACATTAAACAGGAAAGTTTGATCGACTAACCTAGAACTTGGGTTTAGCCCTGGGCTGCTTGTCTTCCTTTCGTAGGCCAGTAACCTTAGACTGTTTCAGGGTGTAATTATTCGGTGTCACGCCGCCATGCTTCCTAGCGGATGCAATTGGTCTCTCGGCAATTTTGGAATTTACTGTTGCTCCAATCACCGTGTTTTTTTCAGGGTTCATGCTGGTCGAATGTGTACTGGGTGTGACTTTGGGTGTCTTCGCTTTCTGTGAATTGATACTCCTACTCGGCTGTGTCAGTTTATCATGTTTACAGTTTAAGGCTGATTTTGGAACACTGAATCAGACTGTGCCAGGGTAACAAAGTGGGCATATATACCAGAACCGTGGGCACGAGTCATTTCGCATAAACTCATAATATGGTTTCGGGACTCCCTTATCTCAAGCAAGACATGCATATTCTGTTACAGGCTGAAGTTATCAATGCAAGAGACTAACTATTAATCTTGTTTATGGTATACGAAAATTGACTGGAAAAAATCAGCTAGGAATTAGATAAACGCATCCATATTTATTTCATGTACAACTGTTAAAATCTGTTTCGATTAGAGCGACTTGGTGATAGATCAAAGCTGTCTCACTCTTGTGTTTCTTTCGTGTAAAATCAAATTTCCGTAGATTAATGTTTAGAACAGACATATGCTAGAACGATATGCATATAAGCCTAAGCTCTGACAATAATGGTAGCGATTTAGAGTCGTGTAGGTAAGTCACTTCATTTTGTTTGTTTATATGTATCTGATATTTATATAGGGTTAAGTTTTTCATGAGTCGCTCGTATTCACTTACCTGTCTGAACGACTAATAAACTGCAGCTGACTCACTGTTGTTCACTCACTAGTCGCAAAATTTTGACTTATAGAACATTTTAATCCTATTAATTTGACTATTTGTTATCAAATGAAGCTGTTTAATGATTTGCATATCGTTTTTTCGTGTTTGGCTTTCTGAAGTTTTAATTGCAGCGCATAATATGAATGTTCATATTGAAGGAATAGTTATACGTAGCTGTTTTTATTAGTTCATTTGAACAGATCGTATCACATGTTCGTCATCATGAAGACTTTTCATTATACTTCCAAGACGATGCGTACAACGACTGTGAAAATAGTGTCAATGCAAGCTGTTGTTATCCATTACGTAACGACACACGTGTCCCTTTCCATTTAGCTATCCAACCAACAGCTGAGTCTGAAAATTGCCCGTTGAAAGAGCACGTTGATCTTTTAACAAATATGAGGCGTCATCATACAGAAAAGGCATTTCTAGAAACTGCACTCCATCATGGATTTTTAACATTACCCGTCAGCTGTGAGAGTGGTGAGTTTTCAAAAGATATCACAATCATACTACCTGGACAACCACTTTCAGATGTAAAGGCTAATATTAGTTCGCTTAATTTGCCTGCCCTTACGAAAGGGGAAATATCAATGGTAAGCTGATAAAATTTTATTTTCGTGTACTTGATTTTGACTATCGATCTAAAGAATTTTTTGGTTTATATTATATCCTAACAGAAGTAGAAGAAATTGTTTTCATTACGGATTATTCAGGCTAATAGTCTAGATTTGGTTAACATGAAGCGTTTTCACGCAATAAAAAATTCATCTTATGTACTTTATGTAGCACTCAAGATAAATTTTGTCATAAAGTCGCAAGTCAGTTAGTTCCTCATGTCGTCTTTCTGAGCGTTAGTCACCTTTTTTATGTTCCTCTTTCTATGTATTCAAAAGGAGAGCAAGCGTTAACGCTGTTCACTAGTTATCCATGTTATCGGTTAGCCAAATATATTTTTGAGTTCACACAAAATGATTGCGTCATGATAAATTGGAGAACCTATATGGGTAAATGCGTTACTTTGGGAAAAATATTTGGAGATACATAACCGCATATAGGTTTGTTAATTATGTCAGAGCAGCGTCTTTTTGTCGATGTGTGCGAATAAATTCGATGTCATATTACTTTATTTTTATCATGACAGCTTCTGTACAGTTTGTTTCTATTCTGTCGTGTTTATTTCCCTCATAGATCTACAAACAGTTTCAACTTGATTTACATACTCGGGTTCGCGAAGACTTTCTGGATTTATTGGTTGAAAAAACGGGGCTGTTTATTAAAGCAGTGATGGGTTATTTAATTTATCGTGAAAATTCCTCTTATTTTCCTCTCCCACCGGATATATCGAATGAACATTCTAGTGAACTGTTTCCAGAGGTGACATCTGACTTGTTACCGTCGATGACCACTCAGTTACCAATGCCACAAAACATTTCAAATGACCAGAACAAACATTACGTGGCTCCGCCTAAAGGTGTAAAGGAGACACAAATTACCTGGTTGAGTGAACAGTTATCTATAGATACTCGTTATCAAGCTATGACTTATCTACCATCGGAGCGTCAAACCTTAATTACCTCTTATTTTGATATGCTCTTCCCATCTATTGATTCTCATTGGCTTATCTCAAAAAGTAAAAATAACGATGTTTTCACAACATATTCTGGAGGTTAGTCTGCTTTATTTACATAACCACTACTGCATGTAAACTTAGAGTTTTATTTTCTACTCAGTATTATAAATGTACTGTGGCTAGCTTAACAATTTTTTTCTAGTAGAAATATAAGTAACTTTGCTAAATGAAAAGTTTCCCTCTTACATAACTTTGAGAATTGGATTTGTAGCAAGTTTGGGATAATACATGGAACAGTTTATAAAGTAGTTTGTGATGATTTAAGTTTACTGCACTGACTGACTGAGTTTCAGCGTGGAAGCTTGCACAGAAGTACAAAAGTTCAGGTTGTCATGATACATGTCTACTGTAACAATGCTAATGATATACTTAACGACAAGCCCTACTAAGATAAGAGCAGTTCCGTACATTACGAAGCCAGAAAGCCTGTTGATATCTTATTTTTCTGAAGTTGTCGGATTAAACATCCTTCATGTGGTTGTAAACTAATACTCATAGTTTGAGTCACAATGGGTAATGAATTGTACCTGATTTAAGCAGATTGCATAATACACTTGGTGTTTATTTTTAGAAAATGTAGCTCAGTACACATTTCACCACTTGGCAAAGATATAAATAAGATTTGTTATTCCCAATAGTATTAAACATTTTATCTAACAATTTGAGTGTTTCAATAAGTGCGTAAACTTCACGTATTTTTTCAAACTGTCTTAGGAGTTCAAAATCCTAGGAATTCAACAATGCCCAATGAAATGGATTCACCAGTGACAGACAACCTTGTATCTATTGATTCAAAAATGGAGTGTTCCTCTGAAAGTCCTAATCAGCAGTATTTTCAACCTGAATTACCATCGTCGTATTCCTTATGTCCATCTATTTCGTGTGGTGGATGTATGGATTTTTTTTTCAAACGTTTTGTCTATGAGTATTTTTCAACTAACTGTAACTGTTTCAAATATCAATTCGGTAGTTGTTGTGAGAGTTCTGGTATCTGTATTTGTATGAATAAGAGGATATCTTTTAAATCAACTTTACCTGATAATTGTAGTATTTCATATCTTCCTTCTTTAACTATTGATCAACCTCCATTGGTCATATCTATTGCTGTGGCATGCATATGTACGGACACGTTGGCAGCTCGTGCTATCATTAATCTCCTTTCATGTGCAGGATTCTGTACACTGCCGTTAACTTCAAAAGCTTCTAAATATTCTTCTACTCATTGTTTAAATCACAAATATCATCAGTGTGATCATGTAAAGTCTTTAATTACATCTGCTGCAAAAATGATTAATTCATCAGATCCATTAGTGCTAGGTGCTACCTGGCCTTTGCCAACGACGAGGTTATTTCTTTCTAGTTCGTCCAGTTGTACAAATACACCTGTCGTTGAATTGTGTAAAGATTTCTGTTATGGTGAAGTACGTGTTGATTTTATTTCACATCATTCAGTAAGTCTGTTTTATAATTTTGCTGTTTTAGTGGTTTTTGCTCAAAATTACTAGTTAGATATCAGTTCGTCAACCAATACGATGACCAAAAGTTGCACTATCATCAGTCTCAAATAATTTCTCTTTTCTACTTTTAAGCACTGAATGTAACTATAAATTTTAGCGAAACAAAAATATCATGTCGGTATATAATTTGCAGTTTAAGGATGGAGAGTGAAATGGTTGAAGGTGTTGATCACTTCACTAATTTGGAAGCTTGCATCGCCTTTGATGAATGGATTGATGACAAAATCTCAGCATAGAGGTTCGCTCGATGAACTATTGACATCTGGTTATGCATCAAAAGATGTGTGTACTGTGAGACTTAGCCGTCGAAAGCGGTAATTCTGAAAGGATTAGCCGTTTTCACCTGGATGTCTGGATTCTGTTTTTCCTGGCAGGTACTATAGTACTGTTAGTAATAATAAGATCAGGCTTAGAATGTTAACTAAGGAGGAGAGGTGTCTCTATTGAGATACCTATAGTACATGTTACGTATGCTAAGCCACCACCTCCCTGTAGCGATGGTAGCTGATATGGGATTGTGTTGGAGAAGAGTAAGGGGTGACCAGATCAAAGCATGAAATCGAACCATAGGTCTTTAACTGGTAATTTTAGTCAAGTATATGGGGGTGTAGATTATGTGGCTTAGGTCCTTGAGATGGTTGGAAACTGTTGATGACGTAGTTCGAAATCGTTCTCAATACCGCAGATGTATTCACTTGTTATGGTCTCCCAGATTCTTAAAGTCCTCATTACACTAGATGTGATTATTCTTCCTTCCTCACATTCCCATTTATTTTAGTTTAAACGCATTTCTTTTCTTTACTTTTATACGTGCTTTATGAAAGTGTAACAACTAATACTATCTCAATTTTGTGTAAAGTTCTTCGGTAATAACTCATTTGATTTCACTGTCGTAACTGATTGTCAAATTCATAATTTTACGCTTGTGTTAAGTTCGTATTTAAATTTTATTTTGGTTTATTGTTTGGCACATACTTAAGTGTAGAAATAAAGTGTTGGCTTACTTAGAATATTTACTGGCAGTTGTTGCCGTCATGTAATAAATTGATCACCTCTTTAATATCTGAGCCACAGTGTCAAGTTTCTTAAGGCGTCACTAAATTAAATGAAATCATTGCTTTTACCGCTGGTTTCTTATCCCGTTTTATCTATATCAGCTGGATAGCATCATCAACCTTCACACAGTAGATGGAGCTGATAGCCTGGTGCATAAAAAGATGTTTCCTGGATAACTAGATTTTTTTTAACTTACAGAAGCTGACTGTAAATCATGACATCTAGTATAGACAAATCTTGAGTTGTCGAGTGGCGATTTCTTAGTGTTGTCTATAGTGCAGTATTGAAGTGCTCTTTTTTTTGTATTTAAAATTCAATTCTTCACGAATTCGAAATTTTGTACGCTCTCGATAGTTTGAAGAATAGGAAATATGGAAATCTTTGAAATTCGTACTTCTAGTGGTAGACAGAGAAAAAACGAAAGTTTCAGGAAACAAAAGCTTAAAAATGTGTATGAGGATAGTTTTATACAGATCTCTTTTGAGATCCTTGGCATTCGTGGGTAAAATACCACCGTTTTGTAGTTTTAATTTGCCTAACAGACTAGAAATTTAACGTAGGAGAAAGTTATTTCGACTTTTGACTACCTGGCAAAAAATAAAGTAACGTTGGGATTTGTGCTGACGTGCTTCATTTCTCACTTCTAAACAACACATAAATGAAGAACGTGAATAAATCGATAATGCAGTGTATAAATATAGATATGTGCGGTGAGAGAATAGTTAGGGGATCAGTGATGAAATTCTTCGTGATTTCGAAGATGACAGGGAATGAATAGCTCTATGATATTGTGAAGACCTAAACTACGTCATGAAAAGTTCCCTTAGCACTTTGAGATCATAATCTTGGGATCTACCATCCCTTTTTATGGCTCAAATTAGCAATGGTAGAATTTGAAGTATTACTGCCATGTTTCTATATGATCAAATCAATCGGCACCTGACAGCAGCTCCACTTCTTCAGACCTTAAAGTCAAAAAGCGTTATTTTCATCAATACGTCTTTTGCCAATTTTGGTAGTACGAATTAATGTAAGACTTTACACGATCTGAAATATAGTGGCTTAATTAGTGTAGCATACTCTTTGGTTGTCTCTTAACAACCGAGTCAATGAAGTATTTGCTGCCTGTAGAACGAGAAATATTAAGCGATTAATGTATCAGTGAAGAACCAAGGTTCATAGACAAAAACATGAATGAGAAGCCTCTGTCGCCAAAAATCACAACTGTTCCTAAGAAAACTTTCTTTATGAATCTGGAATTCAAAGGTGATATCGCGGCATAATTTCTTAGAAACCGCCTTTCTCAATGCCTGAAAAATACATTTCAAGCAGCTACCTTACGTATCACATTCTCCAGCAGACAATTAATCCAGTCTAACGTTAAGGATGAGATATGGCTTTTGGCAAACTCAGTGTGTTCCGGCCGATAACTGCTACCTTGCCGTGGTGGTCGGGCTTGAATGCCGCAGTGACCCAACAAGCTAAACTGGCTGGGACTCATGTCCCTGCAGGTCCTACCATGCCAGGAAGGTTGTTTGGATAGCGGTTAGAGTAAAAGCAGTTACCATGGGGTACATGGGCTCCAGAATCCAATAGGATCAAATGGCGTACGAACCCATATGGGTCACCGGCAACCATGGGAACGCAGCACCTGACGCTGCTCCGCTGCCTTGCGGATTAGACTCCAAGTCAAAGGCTCGGGGGGTGGTCCCTTAAGAAAACCACCTGCTGCGGTTTGGGCGCCCGGGCAGTATCTCAGCCCTCACACAATTAATTAAATGAAGCAACGAACTATCAGTGAAACTCATCGCGCGCTCTTAACAATGCTCTCAAGCAGTAATGATGTCCCAGTTGATATATCTCTTTCCAACCTTACTTTTATTTTTATACTTAGTTTCCTGTATTTTACCTTTCCTAACCTTGACTTCTTAACCTTCGACAGCCTTTCGCCTTTGTTTGGATTCCTAGCCTATCTGTGTCGTTTCGAGATGTTAGTGAGTAGTCCTCAAAATGGCTGTCCCCAATGTGACTTCTAACACAGATATCCTGAAACCGCGTGCTGCGTTCAAGCTGGCTACCTACAATGTTCGGACGCTGATGCAAATCGGACAACAGGCAGGGTTGGCAAGAACTTTGGAAAGCCTCGCTATCGATGTCTGCTGCATTTCAGAGACCCGCATTCAAGATCCCAGTGAAGTGCTTCGACTGTCCTCTCCATCTGGAAGTTCTAGTAGCATGTACCACCTGCGCTTATCCGGGGACCCTGTGGCATCAGCATCCGGCGTAGCTGGTGTCGGTGTCGCACTGAGCGCTAGAGCCGAAGCTGCACTGCTCGACTGGATTCCCATTAACAGTCGTTTATGTGCTGTGAGGCTGGAAGGTTATACGAAAGTAAGGAGTAGTAGGCCAGATAGGCGGTGTCTATTTGTTGTCTCTGCCTATGCACCGACGGATTGCAGCCCGGATGCAATGAAGGATGAGTTTTACTACCAACTGAGCGATCTGTTGAAACAGGCGGGTCGGAGGGATATCGTAGTGCTAGCTGGGGACTTGAACGCACAGGTCGGGCGTCTAAGCTCAGAGGAGAGTCGTCTAGGTGGTCAGTGGGGACTACATGGTCGCAGGTCAGATAATGGGGACCGTCTTCTGCAGCTTTACGCGGATCACAACCTATTTCTAGCCAGCACCAACTTCCGGCACAACCATCGCCGTAGCGCTACCTGGCGTCCTCCCTCTGCGAAGCAAGCTTGGACTCAGATTGATCATATTGCGGTCAGTTTCCGGTGGCGAGGATGCATACAAGACTGTCGCTCCTTCTGGAGCACATGCCTGGACTCCGATCATGCGTTAGTGTGTGCCAAGTTCGTCTTGCGATTTGGTGGGGTTCGTAAAAACCGTCGTCTAAGCGTTGATGTGAGCAAACTAGTAGCACCTGCTACTTCTTTGAAATATCAGAACGAGTTGAAAACAATGCTTGCCAGCAACCCCCCAAGTAGTATAGATGAACACTGGCTTCATGTGCAAGGTGCCATGCAAAAGGCGAGTGTAGCCGCTTGCGGCTTGAAAGAATGCTCCGCTAACAACCACGGGGTTTCTGCGAGTTCCTTGCAACTCATGGATGAACGCCGGTCCATTCCGGCTGGCAGTGAATACAACAATCAGCGAAAGGCGCTCACGAGCAAGATTAGACAGTGTTTACGTAAGGACCGCGAAGCCTGGTGGTCAGAACGTGCGTATGAGATGGAGTCAGCTGCTGCATCTGGCAACAGTCGGAAGCTGTTCCAACTCATCCGAGCCACCGGCAGCAAGAAACAAGGTGTCAGCGAGACGGTCTGTGAGGCAGATGGCACTCCAATTACCAGCCTGAAGAGACACCTGGAACGCTGGGCAGAGCACTTCGGGAAGCAGTTCAGCTGGCCACCAGCTTCATTGTCTACTATCATTAGCCCGAGTGCTCCTTGGTCGGTTAGTACCGACCCACCCACCGAAGCGGAGGTCCGTAAGGAACTCCAAGTTCTGAAACGCCATAAGGCGCCCGGCCCAGACAAATTACCCCCGGCTCTTTTTAAAGATGGTGGCGAGACTCTCATAATGGCTCTAACTGGGTTGTTCAGGAGGGTGTGGGAGACAGAGAGCGTACCATCAATGTGGAACGAAGCCATTATCGTCCCCATCTTTAAAAAGGGTCGACGTAATTCGTGTGACAACCATAGGGGTATCAGTCTGTTACCAGTTGCGTCTAAAATATTGGCTGCTGTCATGCTTCGCAGACCGTGCAAAATACGCGAAGGATTGATTCGCGAAGAGCAGGCTGGGTTTCGTTCAGGTCGTGGATGCATTGATCATGTGTTCACCCTTCGTCAGTTGTTGGAACACCGCCACACGTATTGCAGGCCAACGATCGTTGTGTTTCTTGATATTAGGGCTGCCTTCGATTCGTTGGACAGAACTGTGCTCTGGAACTGTCTGTTAGAGAGAGGTGTACCTGAGAAATTTGTTAACATCTTGAAAGCCCTATACAGAAACACCTCAGGTAGAGTGAGGGCATACAACCAACTATCACCACTGTTCCCAACCAACAGTGGGGTTAGACAGGGTTGCCCAATCTCTCCATTTCTCCTTAACTTTGCCATCGATGACATTCTGGAGTCAGCTCTGAAGGATGTGCGTGAAGGTGGTGTAGATCTGCTACCTGGAGATAGACTTTTCGACCTCGAGTATGCAGACGATATCGTCTTACTGTGCGATGGCATGCAGGCTGCCCAAATCGCACTCAATCAGTTGGCGATCAGTGTCTGTAAGTATGGTATGTGCTTTGCGCCGTCTAAGTGCAAAGTACTGTTACAAGATTGGCAGGAGCCTGTACCTGCACTCACTCTTGCGGGTGAACCGCTTGAAGTTGTCGATAAGTTTGTGTACCAAGGTAGTTGTGTGAGTGCTGGCGGAGGGGTGACGGATGAGATTTCCAACCGTATAATGAAGGCTAGGGTGGCATACATCAACTTGAGCCACCTCTGGCGCCGTCGCGACGTTAGCCTGGCTGTCAAAGGTCGGGTATACAATGCTTCGGTGCGGGCTGCGCTGCTCTACGCCTGTGAAACCTGGCCTCTCCGAGCTGAGGATGTGAGGCGACTCTGCGTGTTCGATCACCGCTGTCTCCGCAGGATTGCTTGCGTTCGATGGCATCATCGCGTGAGTAATTCTGAGGTTCGGCGGCGTGTGTTTGAACACAGTGGAGATCACCATTCACTGAATGTCGTCATCTAGAAACACCGGCTCCGGTGGCTTGGACATGTGCTGCGAATGTCACCCCAGAGGCTTCCGTACAGGTCTCTGTTCGCTAGCCCTGGGACGGGTTGGAAAAGGCGGAGAGGTGGTCAGCCCATGACGTGGCGTCGTGGGATGAAGGATATTTGTGCTAGATTAGCATCGGTTGGTGTGTCACGACTCCCTGGTTGGGGTCTGAGAGATAGCTCAAATCGATGGCTCGAAACGTTATCGGATATGGCCAAGAATCGTAATCAATGGCGAATGTGTTGCGATTTCCTTCTTTCTTCCCTTCCTGATGATAGTTAACGAACACTGTTTGAACCTGTTAAGAATGAGTGTTTTCCTTCCAGATGAAGTTCATTATTCGTTCTCTACTTATATATATTTTTCTTTTCCTGTCTTCCTTTTTTTCATCTATGTTGTTTTATTATTATTGTGTGGCGCATCCTTCTCGGTGCCATATTGTACCAAGTTTTAATGCGTTTAAATAAATAATAAATAAAACTCAGTGTGTCATTATCAGTTTAATTGGTCATGGTCGACCGTACGCAACGTCATGTCCACAAACGTATTCTGGAACGCTGTCCAGCTTGGTTAGCCAGAGGAGAAAAGAAGAATAGCAGCAGCTCCATCCTCGAACACCTTGTCATCTCCGGACATCGAGCATTCCCGCATGAAGGCTTCACAGTGCTACGCAGAGTCCCTCAATAGCGTACAAAGGGACTTCGTATACGCCATCTGTACATAGTTGAAGCATTAGCTATTCGAGATCTGAAACCGAACCTCTGCACTCCAAAGCGCTACTTATATTCACTCGCTCTACCGTGGCCAGAGTGAATTTCTTGCTATAATTTTGCTTCTTTTTTATCTTGTAAGTTCACTATTATTATTGTTATTACTACCATAATTTTATTATCATTATTGTTCCCATCATCCATATTTTATTACCACTCTATTACTGTTTATTAATAACATTGCTTTTTCATACATATTTTATGTAAAAACACTGTCGCCTTTCCACTAGTTCCTGTCCATTCTACACGAGCTTATTAATTAGTCATTATCTCACAATTATTACGTCTTGCAAACTTCTGTCTCTTTTCTAACTTACAATTAGTCTTCCCTTCTTACACCTTACATTATGTAATACACTTTTCGAGGATAAAGTTGACCAGTATCTGATTGGTCTAAAGATTTCTTTGTTAAATAAAATTACGACTGTACGGCTCATGAAAATGAATCGTCGGAAAGAGAATTTTCTTCGCTGTTTACGTCTTTTTCTTATGAAATCTAGTCGGCAGTAGATCAGTTAATTGAACAGTCTCTCCGAATACATGTGAGCCACTGATATGAATTCTTTATTTTACTCAAGCTTTCTTTCAGTCTAAAGTTGTCATACAGTTTCATCAAAATGTCTCCGTTTCACATTTGTTTTAAATTTTTGGCTGGGGATTTTATCCGAGCTGTTCTTCTTAGGTTAGGAGCTTTTAATAACATTTTGTTGTATCCTTGGATATGTTATGTATGTGGCATAGGTTTATCAGTATGAGGTTATTTTTTTTGACTATTTTGATCTTTTCTTTATTTATTTTTATTTTTATTTCTGTAAAAGAATTTATCACACGTTCTGTCTCTTTTGCAGTTATCAAGTAAATTGCTGTCTCATCGAGAGGAATTTGTACGTAAATATGTGCAGTTAGATGACGAAAGCAAAAGGGAATTCACAATTAACAATTCGAATTTACCATATTCTGGAGTAATCCTTATCACTAGCATTCCGTCTTCTGATGAGGAGGAACAGCACAACTTAGCTCTTAACACTTCGGAGTCATTAGAAAACGTCAAAAATGAGGCGAGTCTTATAAATTTATCAGAGAATAATTTCGACGAATGCGATTCTATACCCCACTTAACATTAAATGACCAACTGTCTGATGCAGTTGAAGGCCACCTGATGGCTAACAGAGAATATGGTCCACCCTCCAAATTTTCATGTACTGAAGATCATTTGTCTTGCGCCTGCTGCAAACTGTTTTATAATAATAAAGCTATCAGCAATTCGGGATGTGCTTGTGGTAAGTGTTGCAACTGTGTATATTCGCAGAAAAGTTCCAATCATAACTCACTTCCATATGCAGGAGTCGGTCATCAGGGGAATAAAAGATTTCGTTCCAGTTTAATCTGTCCTCATCGTAGACGTTCTTGGAAAGCAAGAGCTGCGGCCATTAATGCAATCGTTGATCTAGTTCCAAAAAGTATTCCCCATTTGGTTCTACTGACAGAATCATCTGACAGTTATAATAAGTTAAACAGTAAATCAAATTCAGATTCGTTTCCTCCAGTTTATCTTGCACCTGAATCACTAGGATTCTCTACGCTTTCGAAACATTTATCTTCTAACACTCCATGTGATCAAGATTTGAAATCATCTGTCCCACTGGGCTCTGAATCTCATCCACCTGATTGGATGCCTGCAGGAACAAATATCCTGGGTAAGTTATTATTTTTGTAAATTGTCAAACTGAATCACTTCATTGTTTTAGTTCTTTATTTTAATCGTAGTCTTGCGATACTTTAGTGTCTATTTACACTAGCGCCTAGATCTTCACTAGATAGTGAAAGAGTTGACTGTGAATGATAACTTGATTGAATCAAGAATGAATTTAACTCAAAGTATAGTCTCTGATCCATAGAATTACCAACCACCAATCTCAATGCATGGAAATGTAAATAACCCAGCACACATTCACCAAACGACGTTGAGAAGTAAACAATGTTTAGTCCGTTTTTTAAGCTTTAGGATAATAATGAATAAATTACAATTGTAGATTCAAGCTGTATGTTATTTCACCATTCTTTGACATCCATATATATATATATATATATATATATATATATATATATATATATAAGGGATTAATGAAGTTTTATAAAGTTTAATCCTGTATATCAGGTATCCATGAAATTTATGTGACAGCAGTACTGCTAGGTTAGGATCACGTGGTATACCTAAACGTTAGGAATTGGAATAGCAGACTCAATACTAAGCAGTTAAATTAGTCACCACCCAGAGAGGGATTGACGCGGACGTTATCTCTTTTTTTGCGAATGCTGAATGTCTTATTATTTTGGTGTTTCATTTCATAAACTTTAGATCATGTTATAAACTTTCTCAGTGATTGTTGGAATAAAATGAGTCAAAATGCGCCTTCCAAGCATTTTGAGAAACAAAAAGTCGGCAGTTACTACACTCCTAAACAAAGTTCTTTTGTATCAAATAGATCAAGTTCACCTAATTTAATGGTAACAGCCAATTCAGCATCTCAGTCTTCTCCAGAAGCACCATCAGAAAAATCATTCAGTGGAGGACTTTTAAATACGTTGTCTATAGCTTCGGCTACTGGACGCAAAGCCATACATTCTGCTAACCAGGCTTTAAGGAAACTTTCTAGCAGTGCTAAACGTCATCACAATTGTAAATTATCTCCTGTTAGTAGCACTTCTAAAGGATTTCTACCTTCGATTTTCGATATTCATGGTAAAGCTAACACCAATGAGCAAATATCTTGTTTTGCAAGTATCCAAGCAAACACTCTAGAATCAACTCTTCTACAAAATACCAATATTCTTTCACCTTCTTTGCCTCCTCCTCCGATTGTATTAAATTTGTCGTCGCAATCTAACAACATTTCGAGTGAATATAATCGTATATTTTCAGAAACGCTGAGTAATGATCAACATCCCGTTCGTTGGGAAACTGGCACTTCACCTGTTCGTGCGTAAGTTTGTTTCCTTTCCGGTTCACCTGGCAAATTATTTGTTTTCGTGGTTCAACTTTATCTTACTGTTTGAAGTAAACCTTAAAAATGTCATATATTTGGTTCCCTTCATCAGTTCGAAACAAAACAAGAGTGACTATATTTGCAGGATTTATTATGTTACTCAACAACCAATTGTAATTCCATGTACTTGGCTATGAGCCACATCTATTGTATGCGGGCTGTTGATACTACTTGGCTGTCAGAACCTCGCCAGGTGGAACGGAGTTCTAATCCGTGACCCTCTGGTCAGAAGTCGAGCGTCTAGACCAATAAACCACAGCTCCACTCATATTTTCACGATAAAAACATCCCATTTTCGTGTATTTGACTGCTTTTTTCAACTGCCAAGAGACTAAATATGAGATATTACAAATGTAAATATGTATCATACTTCAAAAATCATTTAGACTTAAAGGGTATTTACTAATTCTTATCATAGTAGTGGAACTAGGGGTATGAATATGAGATAGTTAATAAATACTCTAGCAACCGGATTTTATTTGTACATTATGTTATAGGTAGTTCGCGGAGAGAATGGGAGTGAGAAGATATAGTAAGTAAAAGTACAATTATTGCGTAAATTGGGAAAAAAGTTCAGCACAAGCAGTGCTAATCAAAATTATTTAAAGATCATGTCTCAATAAAAAACAAAAAACGAAAAAGAAAGGTCTGTTTACCAGAGTAGTGCGAGATTAATCACACAAATACTGTTTTATTGCGCAGTATGTCGAACCATTTAATACATAGAAGTATTTCACGTTTTGTATTCTTAAGAAATGTTATTGAGTTGAATTCCATCCTAGTAGCTGAAAAGATCAGCAAACTCGCCTTGTAACCTGAAAGTCCTGTGTTCGATTGCTTATGATGGGGTTCATGGATGAGTAATACCGAAGAGTTCCATATAAGGACGAAACAGCTATCCAGCACTATCTGATTTTCAGTTGTACTCTAACTAAAGTCAATTCGTCACCAGACTTAAAATTAATTAAATGCCCGCCAACCAACACGTGCATATTTTATCGCTAACTAATGTCTTAAATCAAAGCTTTGCATTCACTTATTGTAATAAGTTTTTAAGTAAACAAACTCTATGGGTAAATGGTTGCATATAGAAAAAGTAGAATTAAGTTTTTCTTTTGTGAGCTTATATGTATTCCGTATCTTGCTTAAAACTATCATTTCTTGAAAACACTTGTGATATAATAAGCTTGTAGACATTAGTAAATATATGGTGGTAAAATAAAACATGTGTTAGTTATCATTTAAAGTTTAACATGTATACAATCAAACATATATGAGTTTTGCTCGTCTGTATAAGATTAATATACAAACATTGTGTAAGTTAGTCTAAACATGCATCCGTCAGTGTTGGTACTCGTTTCATTGACATGAAAAAGTGATGAAATGATTAAAAAGAATATAAGTTTACTATGTGTGAAGTAGTGATAAGATGGAGACTTGTAGAAGCCTTAAAGCCATCAGTGCATTTACTTAATTTTGATAGTTTCCATGCCGTAATACATAGCATCTAAATGGCCTTATTTACATTCTCATGCAGATCAATGACCGTAAACTCGTGATGAGTACTTTTTTCCCAGCATAGATCTACTTGCTTTCGTTTGAGTTTTCACTGTTGTTTTGTTATCATAAAATGTCCCTTATATTTTACTCTTGACTACTATTCGGCTCACTGAGTATACTTTTTATAACATATTACGCTTATTAGTCAGTGTTTGATAGTCTTATAGACTTTGAAGCTATTTCTGAATTAATACATAATGCAAAAACGAACCAATAGGACATCAGTTATATCGCACTAAATGCATCAACAGGCATGTAACAATTGGAATGTATTGTTTCTTGTACAGAATGAAGGTGTAGATCATGCATTCATCATATTTAAAGACGGTCAATTGATAAATCGCTAAAAACCATTTACTAACCTTTTGAGTGCCAGAAATCAAATACCAAATCACATATCTACATGTATAGTTCGGCCTGTTTAATTTAGGAAAACTGAGAACTCAATTGCTGTGATAAAATCACCAACCTAAATAGCTGAAACCCAGGAATACAAAAAACGTTATGTACAAGCGTTATCCAAAATACCCAAAACACCGTGTTGTATTACTGCTACTTTTTGCTAAGTGGAAGAATGCTAATTCCTGGATGGTTTCTGACAAACTGTGTTTACCAAATTTATTGAAGGTGACTGGTCATAGCTGATGTGTGGAAGCCACTGCTATGGCACAAAATTCCGTGGTATATTTTTTAACGATATATATATATATATATATATATATATATACAGGCCAGTAAATCTTAAGGTAAATAAAAATGGCAGGTATACTTTTTAGAATGAAGTTCAACAATGCCAGGAATTCAGATTGGGTGGTTTTATCTCTCTGCTTCGTCAATTTTAACATGGTGTTGTATTTCCTCTCCCGTTTAAAGCCTACAGACAACTCTAGACACGAATTCGACTAAGAAATTGCCTAAAACGCAATAAGTACTCACTTCTATGAACAGTCTCCAATTCACTACATAACTTTGAAATCAACTACATAACTGAAATTTGAGTTAGCTAACTAAACAACGGAAGTGTATGTTCCAGCAGTAATAATACAACTATATCAGTAATTGGCTACACTTCAGACAGTGTCATTAATCCTCATACTGAGCAATTCTACATTCAAATCAGTTACAATTATTAAACTTACTGTGCTTCCACTGATGGCAGCTAATTTTGTTGTTGAGTATTTGTGTGTTTTGATTGGACACTAGTAACTAGTGTGACGTGTCTAGTCCTTTCTTTGGTGCAGACTGAATTCTGTCAGTCAGGTTTGGAATGTGGCCACCATTCTAGGTAACTCGCCATCACGGTGCACATTGATTTGATGATATTAGATAGTTGGAGGCAATCGTGAGCCCGAATAGCTCAGTGGTAACGTCTCTGACTGCAGCACTGGATGACGCGGGTTCGAATCTTACAAGGGGCATGAAATCCTTAAAGGTTGCAGATACGCCTTGCTGATGACTGCCAGCCAGCACGAAACCTAGGTCCAAGGTTTCCTTCCGATTGCCTCTAACTATCTAATATTTGTGTGTTTATTCCGTAATAAGGTCCTTGTGAGACTAAACAATGTGTGTTGCATTGTAAATATCTCACATAGCAAAGCTGCAATCGGTAATTTTTTCCTTTATTGTTGTAGCTCAGCACTACAAATCTCCCGGGATAAATTTTTTCGTGCGTATATACTTCACGAAACACAGTCGATGCTATCTGATTGCCTACTTTAAAGTAAATTGAATTGAGGTTTTGATTCGGTGCACACTGCTTAAATGTTGAGTACGATTTTCGATGGCCCAAGAGTGTTGGACTTTAATCACATTAGAGGATATTTCGAGCAATGGCGCTATAAATCGTGAATTGGCACAAGTTCGAATTCTTAGGCCGTTTGATTCCGTCCTCAGGGGCTGAATGGTCAGTGGGCTCGCATTGGAATCTGAAGGTCCTGGGTTCGATCCCCGGAAATGTGGTTATGAGTGCACATTGATGAAGAGTCTCAAACTGAAATGAAACAACTGTCCAATGCTCCATGGTTTTCACTGGTTCTCTAACTGATGTCAGTTCGTTGTCTAACTTGAAACTAGAGAAGCTTCTGCAAACCACCACTTGAAAATGATAATAATAATAAGACAATCTCACAGTAGAATGGACTTATCATCGCCATCATTTCTATCTTTAGTATAAGTTCATTTAAGCACTTATTTTCTGACGTACAAATATTTACAATAATCACAAAACTCTTTTAAATGACCAGTAATTCACATCATTTTTAATTGATTTTAATTGTTTATAATTTTTAAAATATAGATACCGTGAAGAGTCGCCTGTTCGAAAAGAAAAAGTGAAATCGCAGCATAAAAATTCACACCTGAAAAAATTTCATTCGAAATCGATGCATAATAAGATTATTCCTTTAAATAATTCATCAGTCTGTCTCATCGATGATTCTAATCCATCATTATGTCGATCTACTGTTCGAGATTTCAGAAGACTTACTACTATTGATAGTAATAAAATGAATGTACAAATAAACCTTGATATCTCACCGTCATCAGCGTCTTCATCATTATCATCAACAAAAGTCTCATTTTTGCAGAGTCCTGATAAATCATCTTATCATGAAAATTATACTGATAATATCTTGTACAGTGCTAAAATTCCACATACTGGATTATATGATGACTGTCGTTGTTTAAATCATGCACCGGAAACACTCAAATATAGTAAGTTTCATAACTTTTTATTGCAACTGTATTCATTGCGTATATTAGTGTAGGCGATCAGTGTTTTATGTGTAAAACAAAGTAATATTTCTTTATTTTTCGAACTGACTGAATGTATTGACAGTTTTTATTTTCTTAAGACATTTGTACAGTAAATATTGAACAGCTATGAAGGAAATTTAAGAGAAAAAAGTGAAAGAACAAATATTAGTGCAGTATAGCATGAAACCATTTTATTTCCTAGTTTCCCTCCAGCTGTATGTAACGTGCAACATTTGTTACAACGAGATTGAATAAAGCAAAAACATCAGTTTGTGCAGAATAAAATGGTACCATCATGTATTTCTTTGGCTTCTCATCAGCCGCTTACAGGCCGAAGGCATTATTAAGTTTATGTACAGAAACAATTTTAACATACCTTCATAGACAGTCCATTTGTAAAAAAAAGTCAATATATGCATATATTGGAAATAATAATAATCACTTTATCCAAAACAATAGTAATGATACACTATGGAATCTTTGGCGTTACGTAATCAAATGAAAGAGAGGATGAAAACATCCAGTTACCAGGCACCAGGGCAAGGAAAGACTGATAACCGCCTCTTTCTGAACACACAAATCGGGTTTCAGGCGCTTGATGGAGATTGCTTCCCCAAACTTAAGGAAAATTGAACTCTTTTGCTTGTTGATAATTTTGAAGGATTTTGCGACATCCACCTCATGACCCGTATCAAGGAGATGCCTAGCAACAGCACTGTTGAGAGCATTTGTTTCCTTGAAACGTAAACTTTTCAGTACATGCTCAGGAAATTGGAGGTGTGCCGTTCTCTCTGTTCTCCCGATGTAACTGCTCTCGTAGATACACGTAAATTTGTATACACAGTTGGCGATAACATGAGAAGGGTATCTGTCGACTTCTGACTGCACCAAAGAGCATGTTGTTCGATGGACGGGAACCAATTTAGCTGCAGGAGAGGCTCTGGCTAGTGACGTACTCAGTCTTCTGTTGACCATTACTACAATGTTTTCACATTTAAAATCTAGTTAAATGAAGACAGGCTTTTTTAAACTGTGATTTGTTTGATGTTTCAGCCTTCACGTCTTGCATATTCGTTAATGAATCTTTGAAAATAACCGTTGTTTTTCAACACCTTTTCGAGAATCGTAAATTCTTCCTCTATTTTCTCTGCAGAGCATATTCTCCTCGCTATATAGTACAGAGTCTTGACTAGTGCTCGTTTATATCTATTAGGACAAAAACTATTAAAATGCAAGCATTGCCCATTCCTTGTCGGCTTTATGTGAATTGACCTCTGAAGACTACCATCATCCAGGTGTTGCTTGGCAATGTCGAGGAAATGAAATTTTTCACCATTTTCATGTTCTATAATTCCATATTAGTTTGTTTATTAGATGTATCACATAGTGAAACAGTATAATTTACTGGATGACGTTTCGAACAAAATTTATTGTTCATAATCATATCAATTATAATCACAAGACTTCGAAACTTGAGTTTTATTGTAGGGGTAGTAGGATTTTCCAGATATCTGGGACAGGTGTTAAATCATTCCTAATACACGTGTTTGCAGTTGATTCGATAAACAAAGCTTCTGTTGTCAATCTCTCCCTCCACCCTGTCACAGACATTAGATTTTAAAACTGTCATCCTACCCCATTCTATCGTATGGTTGTGTGTAATTGCATATAGTGCTATAGCTGAACTATTCTCTAGATTTCTTACCTTATTCGGTACAACTAATCTAGATTTTGCTAGGTATTTATGCTCGGCTAGTCTGACTGCCCCTGTTCTACTACTTTGACCTATGTATTTGACCTGACCATCATTCCAGCAGGCTTTTAGATAAACTGAATTGTTTTGTTTCAAAGGCTTCACAGGATCCTTTAACTGACGAAGCTTGTTTCTAATTGAGTTGGTGCGTTTCAATACCACTTTTATTCCTGCCTTGTTAAGAATTCTGCGTAAGGTTTCCGAGGTTCCTTCCTTGTATGGAATTACTACTGATGATTTAGATTCCTTATTGTTGGTATTGTCTTGCGCATGTTTGACATGCATGTCGTCATTAATATTATTATTATTATTATTATTATTATTATTATTATTAATATTATTGTTATTAATATTGTTTTTTTCTTTGTTTTCCTTCACGTTCCCCAGTGGAACATAGGGCTCCAAGCTAGTGGCTTGAAGTTTCTGTAGCAGTGTATATTTTACAGGATGGGGTTGCTGGCCTCATGCCCAACCTTTTCTCTTCACCAGCATTATTTTTAGCTTAGCGATGTAAAGGAGTGCGTCGGTCGGGGATCTAACCCCGAACCATGTGCATGGTCGGCGAGCGTCCTAACCGCTATGCCACCGACGCACGTTATTAATATTATCATAAATATTATCATTACCACTATCACTACTATCATTATTTATTTTATTTTTACATTTCCCTACATACTTTCTGACTAATGTATAAGGGTAATTATTAAGCTTCAAGGCTTCTCTTATATGTCTCACTTCCTGTTTTAGATTTTCCTTGGTACTAAAAATGGAAGGTTATCTTAAAGTTTTTCAAACCGCTTTATTATTCGTTGTGTTAAGTCTTACAGGTTGTATGCAGCTGAATCTGCGTTATCCTGCACCAATGTTTATTCTTTCTCTTTTCAAAAGCGTGGGGATTGTTGGCGATTAGGCTAAAATATGACTATTGACTGAAAGAGAGAGTTTCTGATACTCTTCAGATATTCACATCTAAATGTTAGTGCTTTTTATTAAATCTCCATTTAGTCATACTGGTCGATGTTCCTGAGTACGAGAGATTAATTTCCTAGAACAATAGCTGACGTAAGTGGTCCCACAGGAGCAGTTGGATTGATAGATAGACAAAGAAAGGTGATTAACCTAGACACGTCATCTTTCAGATTCTGTATCACAAAATGCGGGTATGTACATAACGTAAAATGAAATTCACCAGGATTAAAAGTTCTTTGAAATAATTTCCTTATTGATCTCTAAATTTTAGTCGCACATAGAGTGGCTTGGTGCTCTCAGATGTAAAACATCTCTTTTCGACTTTTGTAGCCATGTCGGGCTTTCTTGTAAACTTCTCCAGTCATTATGTTATATCTAGTAATTTTGGGGTATACACTATGCAAGGATAATTGGTTTTTATAAGGTGAAAATAAAGCCTCACAAAGTTTGCACTTGATTTATGTGATTTTCTCACTTACCTCGCTTCCTGTTTTAATCATGTTGGTTTCGTTTTAGTAAGCTGTGTTCATTATAGCTAGGATATTGACTAAGTGTGTACCGGATTTCGATGTTTTTTCTCTTCATATTATTCGGTTTATGAACATGTGATTGATTCTATCTTATGAACAAACAGTTAATTTTACATTCCTACAAATAAACGTCATGCAAATATGGATATTCTTTTTTCATTTTCTTTTCTCCGTTACAATTACCGAAGTCTACAAATTTCATTGATATGATTATTTCAATGTTAGTAGGTACTTTAAAATTAAGGTTGACTAAATGATGTGTTCCTGAAAATACATAACCTGGTCAAAATAAAATAGAATTCAATTATAAAGCAAAATTTTCATGGGACTGACTAAAATTTCACATAAACATATGTGCTCTTCAATTCTTAGTGTATGATTTATCAAATAAAATTTGAATCAATCAACAGATATTCTTGGTATTGCAAAAATCGGTTTATCTGACCATTTTATGACTTTTGAGAAGTGCTACTTCCTTCCCTTAAACTTAATGTTTCTTTATTCAACCCTACTGTTCCTTTCGTTGTATCACTGTCTATTTGAGGACGTCTCTCTTAAATACCTCTAGATTACAAAATATCTTTCTTTTTCTTGTCACATTTAAATCATTAGCGCAAATACAGTGAGTGACCTTGGCTCAGAAAAGTGATAGCCTTCTACACACATGCAAGAGATACTTTATTTTGAGATGTTTTTGATCAGTTGTCCATCTGTATGAGGGAATACAATTTTAAAATTTATCGAAGTTAACTACTTGTTTTTTTGGCACTGTGGTGAACTACAATTTCATACTAGATAAGTTCATGTGACATAACAAATAGTAATGTAGGAAAAGCTATATTAATAAGTGGATGATGTTTCGAACACAATTTATTGCTTACTGTCATTTCAGTGTATTCACACAACTTGATAAATTCTTCTACATAGCCGTAGTCCCTACTGTTCAGCCATACATCCTACTGGGATTATTAGTTTTAGGCATCCGGTTAAATCATTTTGACTCACTCGGAGATAACTTCTGTTATAACCGGAACTACGACCTAGTAGACTATGAGCGAATACCAACTTGATGCTCTGTCCTAATCGCACATCAACAACAATAATAATAATACCGCCGAGTCACAAGAAGACAAGAGAAAACTGGACTTTAGTAAGAGAGCTTTTACTGTCTCAAAACAACAGTCAACAAAGCTTGACAGAGGTTTAAAATGACCTTGGGGAGCATTAATGTCAGTAATGAATTAAGACAGCGAACAACCAACAGGATTCCAAAGGTCATAAGTAAGGTGAGAGAAGTATAAACAGACATGTAAAATGATATGTCAGACAAATTACGTCTTCTTATTGCTTTGTCTGAATTCATAAAGGGGACTAATTGCTTTAAAAAATGACATGTAGAAAGTTATGTTGCGATCAGTAAGTGAGGTGAGACAAATACAAACATACGTGTAGGATATTAGGTCTGTATATATCAACTTCATTCAGCTTAATGGATCAGGTGTGGATTTTTCAATCTCATTCATTACAGTGTCTACAGGTTTCTTAGTCTTCTTGTACGAACCTGTTTGATTCTGTTTATTGACCTGTTCATAACTGCTGTTGAATTGCCCTTGTCTGAGCTGGCAATTACCATGCTTTCTCACTCCTCAAACATTTTAGAGCTCATATTTCTTGTTGTAATAAGTTTTCTTTCTTCGGATGTCTGAGTGCTCTGATGTGTTCAGCAGTTTTATCTATTACTTTTAATGCTACTTCAACAATAGGAGTGATATCCTTAGGTTTTAACCTATCAACTGCTACACTGAAGTTCAAATCTTTTTGGAGCAGTTTTATTTCATCAGGGCGTAATGTTCTTGTTTGAGAGGTTGCTCATCCATTTTTTTGTTTTGACCGTTGATAGTGTTACATGGGTAACTTCACCTTTTGCGTAGCAAGATATTTTCTATTAATTTGTAGAACTTTTTAATTCTAGTGTTTCTGAATTTATTGTAAACAGCTGGTCTTTCAGTTTTAAATGTTTGAACCATGATGTCATAATTCAGTTATTAATACTTTACTTCTGTGTGTTATATTAAATAAACTCATCTATTTTGAAACTGCTCGTTTCATTACTTTGATGCTTATTCATTCATTAAGAGATGAGAAATTAAGAAAAAACATCATTATATTAAGTAATCAGTAATATGATTCCTTCCAGTTAAACTGGTAATTGTTATTATTTATTATCAGGTAAACAAGATGTACAACATGTCCATGAAATGCCGTCTTCGAATTTTAATGCAACCGTAATGGTAAGTCCTCTATAGTAATCAGTTTTTCACTGATTATCTTGTTTCTAGTGTAGTGATATTGAGAGATAGTTCTACGTCTATTTCTATAATAGAATTTTTTAGTTTAAATACGTCGCGAAAAAGTCACATAGATTATCCGGTATCATTTCTTCAGGTTAATGCATTTCTGGAAATCGCCCAGAAATACCATCAACTGCACTCACAGAACTACCAGTAGACACCAATCCTCCAACAAAATTTGGAATTCTCAACGATATCAAGCTGCTGGAAGCCAGCAGGACCAGATGGATTTACCCCGGAAGCACTGAAAACGGACCCAGGCGCTGCAGTGCATATGCTCACACCACCATTGAGAACAGTTTGGAGGGAAGAAAAGGTCTCTACTAGTTGAAAAAAGGGTGCCAGTCAAACTACCAAAGGAGGGCGACTTAGGCCTCTCCACGAACTGACGCGGAATCATGCTCTTCTCCACGCCAAGCAACATAATGAGTAGTGTCACCTTGGAGAGAACAAAGGATGCACTGAATGCACAATTCCTCCCCACCGGAACAAGCTCGATTCAGGAAATGCAGAAAGTCATGTGCGGATCAAATCGCAACTCTACATATCATCTTCATCACAGAACAAAGCGTAGAATGCCAGTCAAACATCTACCTCGATTTCATCAACTTTCGAAACGCCTCCGACAGCCTTGACCACAAAGTAATTTTGAAGCTACTTCAGCACTACGGAGTGCAGTGCCACAAGTCTTTATCAACCTCATTCAACAGCTGACTACATGACAGTGGCACGTGTCAGGTGATGCACAACGGAAAATTGCACGATGCCCTTGAAGTGAATACAAGAGCAAGTAAGACAAGTCTGTCCACCACTATCACCGATGATATTCTTGATTTGATCGTGGCGGACTGGATGTTGTGGCAGACTGTGTGGAGCGATAAGACAGAAATAGGTTGGATGGATGCAAAGACTAGAATATCTAAATATCACAGATGATTTCTGTCTAATGTCACATAAACTCGAAGACTTTTAGGAGAAAACTAACAAGTTGGAAGAACAAGCAGTGAAGACAAGACTTCAAGTAGACATAGAGAGAACAGAGGTAATGAAGCTAACCAACCAACAGCAACAACAAACGGCACCAATCACTATCAACGAAATGAATTTGAAAGAGGTCACTTCCTCCGCTTATCTAGAAGGCATCGTCTCAACTACTGGCGAAACGCATGAAGATGTCAAAGCCAACCAGAATCGGAAATCGGATCAATCGGAAACCAGTGTGGAAGTCTTCTGCACTCCACGGCAGTAAGAACAAGATTCAGACTTTCAACACAAATGTGAAGTCAGTCACTTCTTCTATATGGATCAGAAGCATGGCCACTGCTGCATCACGAAAAGCATTTCCAACAGGCCACTGCACACTTTCATCAACAGCTGCCTACTTCGCTGCCTCTATGTTGAAGATCGAATGGCCAACGAGAAAAAATTAGCACGAAAAAAGTACATATGAGAACAAACTAACCAGGAGCCGAATGCTCAATCAATATGTAGGAGAAGGCGGAGACTGTCGAATAACATCGCGCGCAATGCAGGCCATCACTTGAGTGGAAGCGGAATGGGAGACTACGAGTGGGTCGTCGGTGTGAGGGTGACATGGAGGAGATCGTGCGAGGAGGAGATTAGAGGTTATGGGCAATTGTGGGCAGACAGTGGAGAACACGACAAAGTGGAGATGTGTTGTTGAAGCCCAAACCTATGGGAACAATATAATAAATATGATAAAATAAATGCATTAAGGTCTGTTCATTTATCTTGGCGATGCTGATTGTATGACTTATTGTTATGGTGATGCACTGATGTACTTTTGGATTGTCACTGTGATTGTAACTGTGACCCTGCGAATTGTGTTAACCGATATAATCAGTGTGTGTATAATCCGTTGTTTGATAACTATGTCACTTATAAAACACAAAATAATCGAGCAAAGAATATTCTTTTCGATAAATTCCTCTTCCAGGCTCTACAATTATATATATGTTTTTATACACAGAATATTTTAAATTAGTAGTTAATAACAATATTAGCGTTTTTTAAATAATATCGATTTGTAAAGTATGATCAATGCTATTACAGTTCATTAAAGATGCTTAAATAATAATAATAATAAAGATATAACAGCGAATAGAATATCAACTAAAATTAGGGAAATTTCACAAAAATTCTGGATTATTCAAACCTGGATGGCCAAGGTAATGATAATGACTGGACTAACTTCTTTTGGGTGCATAAATTAGGCTTATTAATATGAATCCCCACAGCCTCAGCAATATTTAGAAGTCGAACTCTTAAAGCGAAATTGAGATTCGTAGGTATGCGGTAAATGACCCTGAAAGCATGATTAACGTCAATCTTGTGTTCTGTCTCCACAAGATGCGCCAGAATGGCGCTGCGAATAGATTTTGTTTGACCTTTGCTTAACCAGGCAGGGTGATGTTCGGAAATTCGGCGAGAAGCACGCCTAATTGTACGGCCTATGTAACTGGCTCCACAGGAGCAGTTAAATTGGTATATACACATGGAAGAGGCGAAATTAGGCAGTTTGTCTTTTATTCCCAAACGCAGAAGAGGAGTGGTTTTGAAGATACAGCGTAATTGAGCAGCAGGGAATGCTCTTTTTACCGCATTTCTAAGGCGGTGTGTTAGTATTTCACTTGTGTTGTCTCCTAGGAACTGCATCTGTAAGAACAAGGCTTTCTTTGGAACTGTTGGTACCTTGGATTGTTTTGGTTTTAGATTCATATTCTTATCAATAAACTTTTCGGGATAACCATTCTCACTTAGCAACCGTTTAATATTGTTAAGCTCCTCGTCAAGACATTCATCCGAGCAAATCTCTCTTGCTCGGTGGACCAAGCACTTTATTAGATTGCGTTTGTATTTCATGGGCACAAAGCTGAGGAAATGTGTGTACTGGCCCGTTGATGTAGGTTTTCTATGAACACTTCTTATTGTGCCATCCTCTTTTCTGGTCATAAGGACGTCTAAAAATGAAATACTAGAGTCTTTTTCTTTCTCAATAGTAAAATTTATTGCAGGATGTACCTGATTAAATTTATCCAGGATGTTCTTTGCCTCCTTTTCGTTCTTCATAATCAAAAAAGTATCATCCATGTATCGACAATAAAATTCGAGTTCATTAATAACATCTTTCAAAGGCCCATTTTCTAGTTTCACCAGGAAAATGTCGGCTAGAATGGGTCTTAGTGGCGACCCCATTGCCACACCGTCGATTTGTCTATACAGTTCCTTAATAAATAAAAAGTGGACATTCATTGTACATTTCAAGAGAAGCTCCTTCATGAAAGATATAGGAATGCCAACCTCGATGTTTCGTCTTTTGAGTTCTTCACATATAAAGTCCACTGTTTCCATGAGAGGTACATTGGTGAATTAAGAAGATACGTCAAATGATATCATGAATTTATTGTCAACATTTATATCTCTTATCCTTTCAACGAATCCAAATGTAGCCTTTACACTATGTTTCACCAACTCAGTATGAAGGGGCTGTAAGAGTTCAACTAACCATTTGGTTACCGGATGGTATGGTGAATTTAGCATATCTAATACTGGTCGTAGCGGTACACCATTTTTGTGCACTTTAGGCGAGCCATATAGTCTTGGTGTGAACGTTCGGTGGGTTTAAGTGACGTATACTTTCCCCTTTTCTGTTTAACTTCATCATAGATATGCTAATGGAAGTATCCTTAACTGAACTTAATGACTTAGGAATCGACTTGTTACCAGGGAATAGTCTTATAGACTTAGAATACGCAGACGACATATTCCTGTTAGGGGAGGACGCTGACAAAATGCAGAGTCTTCTGAACACCTTGAGCAGCAATCTTCGTATGTTTGGCATGCGATTCGCCCCTGTGAAATGTAAGATGCTGCTACAGGACTGGACTACGTCAACTCCTAGCTTAGTGATAGGGAGTGAAGTGATAGAACATGTTGACCACTTCACCTATTTGGGAAGTTGTATCAGCACCAACGGATTGATTGGTGACGAAATCTCAGCACGGATCCAGAAAGCTCGGGCTGCTTTCGCTAACTTACACCGTCTCTGGCGTAGGCGTGACATCCGGCTGTCAACCAAGGGACGTGTATACTGCTCAGCAGTTCGCTCCGTCCTTCTCTATGGCGGTGAGACGTGGCCATTGAGAGCGGAAGACATGAAGAGATTGTCTGTTTTTGTTATGTATGTGAATATGAGGACCTTGTAGACTACGAGCGAATCTAACTAATGCGCTGGCTAATCTGTCCTAATCGCACGTCAACAACAACAACAATACCGCCGGGCACGCAAGACAAAGAAAAGAGAAGACTGGACGTTGATACGAGAGCTTTTACTGTCTCTAACAACAGTCGAAAATGTTAAACAAAACTCCGTATTTATACAATTAGAAAAATCAATGTCACATTTTAAAAATATTAACAAACCCTGGGAATTCAGTAATTTAAATCAATAATCACGCAGATGCGTGAAATCAATGATTAGGCTAGTGTGGGAAAGAAATACTGAATATTAATGATTCACCTGTGTATATATTACCTCCCCCTTTTAAAAAGAATCTTGCAAACAGTTTAGTATCTTTTTTCCTTGGGGTCGATTTGGAAATGAACTGTTTGTGTTCGTTTGCGCTGGGATCGTCGGCTGGGTAGCATCTCTTGTTTTGCTTCTGGTTTGACTGGTGGTATTTTGAAAGTTTCCAGTAGTAAATCCAGTGGCAATTTAGGTTCTTGGGATGTAATATATCGACGTCGTATCTGATTTTTATGTCTTATCCACCATTCATCCCCAACTTTAACCTTGTACATTAGAGTTCCATGTCGACATTCTACCAAGCCTTCGGCCCATTTTCTGTTCCTCGGTCGATAATCGTGCACATAGACGGCATCACCCTTGCGGTAATACTTCAGACTATTTCTTCGTTGATGTGACGAAGATGGTAACATGGAGTGGTGATGAGTTCGTAGCATTCGACCCATTAGAAGTTCTGCAGGGCTTTTCTTCTGTTCTGTCAGTGGTGTAGTTCGGTATACAAAAAGAAAGTTTTGTATTGCTTCCGGTTTCGCCCCTCCCCCTGCTTTCAACAACGCTCGTTTGAAGGTGTCGACAAATCTCTCTGCCTGACCGTTGGATTGCGGGTGATAAGGTGGCGTCCGCACGTGTTGTATACCGTTTCTCTTGCAAAATTCCTGGAACGCTTGTGAGGTGAACTGACTGCCATTGTCAGATACGATGATTTCTGGTATACCGTGACATGCGAAGATCTTTTCCAGGACTGATACTGTTCTGCTGCTAGAAGGTGGTGTCACTTGTACTACCTCCGGCCACTTTGAGTAAGAGTCCACGAGAACCAAGTAGTATATACCTTCTATCGGCCCAGCGAAATCCACATGTAGGCGGGACCATGGTTTTGACGTGGGCCATGCTCTCGGTGGCTCCCGCGGCGGATCTTTGGCTGCCGTGACAGACATCACCTTCAGTTTTTGAGCAGAGCCCGTCTTACGGGAGCTAACAGTTGCTACTTTGTTGCTACCAGACATCGAAGCACTTTTGGCGCAGCCATACTCACTGTGACGATTCGAAGTTGGTTTTTCATTAATCACGTCATTCTTTCTAATGGGCTTAGGTTTAATATATCTGTCTCTGATTTCTGGCTTTCTTGTTGAGGGTTCAATACTTTCGATCTTTTGGCATACACTGCTTAACGGAATCTCTGACAGGTGCAGCTTCTCGAACCAGTCTAAACCCAAGAGGTCAAGGTTTGAATTATTGATGTAGCATGTGCCGATGAAATGACTATCGCGAAAACCAACGCTGCATTTAATTTCTCCATTCAATCGAAGTCTTCCACCACATGCACTAATTGCTATCTGATTTGTCTTCTCTATGGCAGGGCATCCCAACTTCTGCCACAATTTCTTTGATATTATTGTAATATCGGATGCTGTGTCGATTTGTAGGCGTGCCGGCCGTGTATTAATCGTCAGATTGATATATTTGCGAGGTGCTGGAGAACTAATATGATATGCGGCAGTAACACCCAAAGACTTGAGCTTGTTGCGCCGTCTGGGTCGACTATGAGGTCTGCGTCGGTTGTTGCGTTTGCAGTAGCCATCTTTGTGACCCACAGTATGGCATTGACGGCATTTATGCTGTTTGAATGGGCACAAGTTTGCGAAATGCCAGGAGCCACAGTGCCAGCAGGCTGATGGTGGTTTATGCTGAGGATGAAACGGTGCGGTTGATGTCGACGGTACTGGATGCACCGCATGCACTTCTGCTGCATTTTGGCTGCCAGACTGCACCAAGACGGTATCGTTGTGAATGTTGATTAAACGCTGATATTCTTCACCGACGTCTTTCAAAGTCATTCGTGGATCTTGTTCCAGACGGTTTAATAGACGTGTGCGTATATCAGCAAATTTGGGAGACTGCAAACCACAAATGAAAATCAATACCTTGAACTGGTCTTCTGAGAGCGATTTCAATTTAAAACGTTCACACGTGCGATTGACTATACCCAACTGAGTATGGATGTCATCATTTTCGTTCAAAACTAGTTTCATGCAATGATATCGAATGTTGAATAACGATCTCTGATCACCAAACTGATGACGAAGGGTATGGACAGTTTCATCGAATGATCTTTCGCTGGGCTTCTGTGGGAGAATTAAGTTGCAGTATTTATCTAGCTCATCTGCTCCCAATTTACGAAGTAGAAGCCGTACTTTCCAGGCATCATCTTTATTCGAAAAGTCTACTCGAAATAGGTCTTCATATCTGCGAAACCAGGTATCAAATGTTACGTTCGCATCTGGATCATAAACGAATTCTGAGATGCTACTACCAATGCTGTCGTTGGCTGTAGATGAATCAGCAGAGCGTGATATTTGTAGACCAGCAAGCATTTCCATCAATTTTAGCTGCTGTTCCATTAGTTTCTCTAAACGCAGTGGGTCCATCTTCAGCAAACCCGTCGCCAAATTTGTTATGTATGTGAATATGAGGACCTTGTAGACTACGAGCGAATCTAACTAATGCGCTGGCTAATCTGTCCTAATCGCACGTCAACAACAACAACAATACCGCCGGGCACGCAAGACAAAGAAAAGAGAAGACTGGACGTTGATACGAGAGCTTTTACTGTCTCTAACAACAGTCGAAAATGTTAAACAAAACTCCGTATTTATACAATTAGAAAAATCAATGTCACATTTTAAAAATATTAACAAACCCTGGGAATTCAGTAATTTAAATCAATAATCACGCAGATGCGTGAAATCAATGATTAGGCTAGTGTGGGAAAGAAATACTGAATATTAATGATTCACCTGTGTATATATTAGTTTTTGACCACAGATGTTTACGATCCCTTTCTCGCGTTAGGTGGTATAATAAGGTAAGTAATGTTGACGTTAGGCGTAGAGCGTTGGGCAAAGAGGGAAAATCAATCGAAGAGGCTATGAAGTTACATAGATTGAGATGGTTAGGCCACGTGCCGCACATGCCTAACCATCGTCTCCCCCGACGGGCATTACTAGCTGATATAGGTGCAGGTTGGAAAAGAGTAAGTGGTGGCCAAACAAAAACATGGCATCAGTCCATGAAATCCCTGACAGGTTAAACTGAGTCAGGTAGGGAGATGCAGACTTCCGGGTTCGGGCCCTCGGGACTCTAAGAATCAATGACTGGAGACAATAGGTGACATGGCTCAAAATCGTTATCAATGGCGCAGATGTATTCAGTCTCTTTAACCTTGATATTCCTTTCTACCATTACTCATTCTGTTTCACTCTTATACTTATCTAAATTCTATTGATTCTCTTCTCTCCTTTTCCTGTCTACCTTTGTGTGCTATTTGGAACGTGGCAACTCGAACTGCTGCACTTCGGTGCCAAGTTCTATGTTGAATCCAGCAGCAGCATACTTTACAAATCGATATTATTTAAAAAAAACGCTAATATTGTTATTAACTACTAATTTAAAATATTCTGTGTACATAAACGTATATATAATTGTAGAGCCTGGAAGAGGAATTTATCGAAAAGAATATTCTTTGCTCGATTATTTTGTGTTTTATAGATGTCTGAATGAATATTTTTGACTGTGTTACTATTTCTCAACATCAACTATGTTGTTACTTATTTTTGTCGTCCATTTAAGCTTTTTCGTTTTACCTATAGTTGTCACTGCGAATTCGTTTAGATTTAGTGTATGAAGCTTTGATTTCCTTTAGTAATTCTTTTTCATTTTGTTTAGAATTACAACTACGATGCTGTCTGTGCATGATAATTCTGTCTCTAAGCGAATGTATGCGTGTATATCTACTTGCTAATAAATCACTCATATTGTGTAAAGGTTAATGATACTTGATTGTGCAATGTAGTATGATCGCTTACCCTTCTCACACGAAATGAGTTGATGGTGTTCGTCCTAAACTCATTGGCCATCACCTAATATTGAAGTCTTCTTAATGCCGAAGTTTATCTGTAGTGCTACTAGTTATTCAATTATTGATCTTAATTAATTCATTGGAGGACAGTGAAAAAAACTCATTCACCAAAGGGATGGGACAGGGAAACACTGGGCTGAACATTTCAAAAGACTCTTGAATCGACTACCACCGACAACTCGTTCGTAAATATGACCAGCAGACACAGAATTAACACTGAACACCTATCATTTGACGGTATCAGAAGTCTTGGAAGCTATAAGATTACTGGAATCCTGAAAAACATCTGAAGCTGGTGGAGTCTTCTCAGAAGCTCCAGAAACGGACCCAGAAACCTTTTGGGACTTACTCACACCACTACTGTGTAGAAGGAAGAAAAAGTAAGAACAGCAGTCCAAGAAAACAGAGAAAGCAGAGGTGATCAAGATATCCAGTCACCAACGAGCACAGACCCCTATAAATTTGAGGGATGTAAAGGAAGTCAGCACTCTCACTTATCTTAGCAGCATCGTTTCAACTACAAGTGACACGGATGGGGATGTCAAAGCCAATCAGGATTGAGAAAGTAAGGTAGGAGTTCATTACTCTGAAATCACTGAGGAAATCTACTGCACTCAGCATAAGGAATAGGATCCAGACTTTTAACATCTATATCTAGTCAGTACTTCTATATAGCCCAGAAACGTGGCGACTCACTCAGAACATTTTCAGCAGGCAGCAGAGTTTTATCAACACATATTCTTTACGTAAGATCAGACGGTCTGTCGGAAATGATAAACAATAATTAAGCAGTAAATAAGCGAAATGGTTAAGAACCAAGTTGAGAAGTAAATGAAAGTGGTCTGGTCATACTCTTGAAAAAGTCCAAGCAACATAACATGGCATGTGGTCAAGTGGAAGTCTAATGGGAAGCTGCTAGTTGGGCATCCGAGTGTGACATAGAGAATTTCTTATGAAGAGGAGATAAAAGTCTGTTGGGAGTCGTGAAGTCATTCAGAAGTTACTACAGAAAACTGAGTGAAATGGAGATATTCTGCCAAAGCCCTATGTTCCACCCGAAACGCAAGGAAAAAATATTCTTTAAAAATAAATTATAGAGTAGCAGTGTTGCAGTTATAATAATTTAAGTAATTCTTCTGCATTTAAAATATTTTTTCTTTTTAGGCTGATGATGTTAATGCACCTTCGTCTGTGTCTTTGAATGGAGACATGACAAAAGACTGTTATCAATTGCACAATGAAGTGGAGAATTCAATCCCCATTAGTGATCATCAGGGCTATACAACATCATCTGGTTTAAACGACCATTATTTTTTGACCGGTTCACTATTACAAAATGATACCGACACATATTTTACTATGCAAAATAATGATGATATTGAATCAATATATGATGAGATAATTCCAATTGAATCATTATCAATTGAGAATGAACACTGTAGTTTCACAAATGATCATCAATATGATCATATGATAAATAATTCTTCATTACCACAATCATCAGTGGATAGTAATTACACTGAAGAACATATATATGCAGAACCTGTTGATTGTTTAGGATTTGGTTGCTTAGAAAAATATATTATACCACAGAATTTTTCACATTTTTATACCAATTTAAATAATCCACTGGTTACCAATAGCATATCAAATAAAGCATTGTCGGCATCTACAAGTATGTTTCTTAATTTTGTAGTTATTATACACTGCTTTTTTTTAATTTGTTATTGCACTCAATTCCCCTTGATTGATAAGTAGTTTGCTATTAGTTGGTGTAAAGTGAGAGATGACAATAATATTTATATGACAGTTCATGTCTGTAATGTAACTTACCATGTTATATGAATATCTGTGCACGTAGTAATGAGTCACATAAGTTGTTTGACAACTGAATTTAGTATTTCGTATTAATTCCTATGACCCAATGTGTATATTTCGTACTCATAGCAAAGTTTCCTCTCGTGATTTGTTGGTTGGAAATCGCGCTCTTAAATATATTTCTGATCTTCCAAAGCATTTAAACCCTCATATTTATTTCCCCATGTTGTTATTCTTTCTCCTGCATATTTCTGATTATTATGGTTCTTTTGAATTGTATTTTTCTCTCTTCTCTACCCTTGTGTCGTAAATGGAGTGTAACAACTTGAACTGCCACACTTTTGTGCAAAGTTCTATGTAGAAAGTGGTTCAGTCAGTTTGAATCCATAATTTTCAACTCTTACAATCGTTATATTAGGAGGACATCTTATTGATTATGTCTGAGTTTCTACACAGAACTGTGCAGAGAAATGCAACAGTTCAAGCTGCTACACTCCACGTAGGACACAAAGGTAGAGAAGAGAGAATAATGAAATTCGAAAGGAAAAATCCCCCATTTAGACATTTAGGAAGCAAAAGGATTGAGCGAAGAAATATGTACTTTTCAGTTAGATTCTCAAAACTAACATGCAGGAGACAGAATAGTAATATGGAAAAAACATGAGGATATAATCCAAAATGGGAGATCACGAAGAGTGAATACATCAGTGCCAGTGAAAACAATTTTGCGCCATATCACCACTAGTCTCCCTCCATTTGTTTATAGCGTACCGGGGACCCTAACTAGGTAGTCTACACCTCCCTGGTTATTTAGTATAACCAAAAATATCGAATTATATTTGTATCTCAGAATGAGAATGATAGTTATTCTGTATTTGTTAACTTCTTTTTCACCAACTGTTCAAATACGCAATATATCATTTAGTTTTGTTTCTATGGTTTATGATAATGATCACATATTGGACGAAAATGCTTGCGAACTGTTGATCTTTGGGGTGATGATTTAAGTTGCAACAAAGTTGCATTAGTATTTGAATCAATTGCCTGTAGTTTGCTAGCTTAGTAATTCCATGCACTGCAAAGTCACTCGCAAACTAAGTTTGAGTGAAAAAAGTAATCATTGTCAACAGTTGATGATCAGTGAACAAGTCAAAAACGAAGATACAGCTTATCAAAGTAATAAATGCTCACATTAGTGAAATTACTAAATGACTTTTAAATTTGATCACAATCCTGTACCGTATTGTAATACGAGAACACTAAACTATTTGGTGACGGAATTATTTATTGGCAACTCGATGTATAGGCATATACCATATATTAAAATCACAATTTGCACATTTCTTCGATATTGTGTTACTTTTGTATTCCGTATTGTGCTTTCCATGTTGTTCCACAAGAATCATTCATTTGCTCTCTTCATTAAATCTATCCCTCTGCTATTCGATATTCTTTCAGACGACATACACATTTATATCTGTATCTGTATATGGCGTGTGCATATATTTTTACTTATAGAATATTATTAATTTTCTCCATTTAAACTGTATGGTAAATGAAAGGTAAGGTCACTGTGGTCTAGGCAGACTTCCAACAATTCTACCGTAAGCTTGAACTGTCTCTCATTCTTGCAGGTGTTAAGACAGTTCCTCATGGTGGACAATTTTGGTTGTTATTGTTTATATCGCGAATTTGTTGAATTTAAAAATACTGCTTCAAATTGTAGAAAATACTCATCAGGATATTCAAACGACAAGGACAAAAAGTCTAGCATAGGCAGATTTTTGGTAATTTCATCCTCAAAAGCTTTACAGCTGCATTTTTATACAAAAGTTCACATATTTAATTGAATTTTTTTAGATTTTCCCGTCGATTGATTGGACCGAAGTGCTCGGTCTCAGGTTGACATGTCGGCTTCTTGTGCTGATGCTTCGACGATATCTGGGCATGTAGTTAGAATTTAATAGGTGGATGGTGAGTAGCAGTGGAATCCAGGATGCGCATTTCGTCCTATTTGGCGTTTGAAACTATGGGCACTGGGTTCGAGCCTCGGTGGGAACATCATCACTCACTGGGGAATGCAGGTACATCCAGTGACGAGTCCCAAATAGGACGAAATGCGCATGTTGGACTCCACTGCTAGTCACCTTCCACCAATTAAAATAAGTTCACATAGTTACAATTATTATTTAATTCAGCATAGTAAACAAGGGAAATTAAATGAGAAACAAAGAAACAAAACAACATGGTATTAGAAAATAGTTGCATAATATGTAAAGTTGTTTTTGACGAAGACAGGTGTGAAGGGGATGTGCATAGAAACAAATTGAAATACTTTTTATTATGGGAAATTAAAAAGTGAAGGGAGTAAAGAGAACGATAACTTAGAAGCCAATCCGAACTAGGTCCATGGCAAATACAGAGGTTGGACTAGTTCCTATTGAACACAACTCGCTCCTGCGATACGAGAAGTGCTGAAAAACACTATCTTTGATAGATTTTCGTTCACCTTGTTGGTGATAGAATCCTTTTTAAGCTTCTTTTTCTTTTCTTTTTGAAAATACTAACCATTTAATTTCTACTTAATGACTCAAGTGGTAGCGTATTCATTTCAAAACACACCAGTCGTGTGTTCTGTCCTTTATGAAATCATGAGTGAGTGGATCCTAAGATAGAACGAAACAAACATTGTCTTCTCCATTATTTCCACTGGTTCTCTACATGATATATCCACTTAACTAAAAATATGGAGAAATCAGTAAAATTTACGTGAAGTATCCAAATAAATCATAGTCATTTCTTTGCATTATTATGTCGTTGTCAATGGCGCAGATGTATTCAGTCTCTTTAACCTTGATATTCCTTTCTACCATTACTCATTCTGTTTCACTCTTATACTTATCTAAATTCTATTGATTCTCTTCTCTCCTTTTCCTGTCTACCTTTGTGTGCTATTTGGAACGTGGCAACTCGAACTGCTGCACTTCGGTACCAAGTTCTATGTTGAATCCAGCAGCAGCACCAGCCTATACATTCAGAAATATATTTGCAGTTTGCTTTATATTAAGTGGCTTGATATACGAAAGCTATTTATAAAGGGTAGATATTTTCCTACAATGTGCTAAATTGTAATCCTAACATGAGATTCTTACAGTCTAAATTGCTTTTGTTTTGTTTCTAGCGTGTTCAACCAGTGCCGTTTCATTAACAAGTACGTCAAACACTTGGTTTGGAAATACGATAGGTTCTCGACGAGAACGTTATCGATCATTCAGTACACCTGAAGGATGTTCTACAGCTTCTGATGATAATGACAGACAAGGTGTCTGTGGTTCATCGACCAGCTTCTTATCCAGTATTAATTTTTCGAAAAATATGGTACATCCTCTCTCTGCAAAGCAAATCCACTCGCGGTCCGTAAGGTCTAGTCATGCTGATGAATTGTGTAACGGCCTTCATTTGGATTTCAGTACTAACAGTACATCATTTTCAACTACTACCTCACCTTTAAAATCTCGTATGCATAGTACAGATGCAGTTTTTGAAAAGTTAATACATTACAGTACTCCTGTCAGTTCACCTGCTTCCATCACTTTAAGTGATGATTTGAGTGAAAATGAATTTTCCAATTTTTCAACTATTCGTCCTCTATCACTACCGAATCCTTTATCTCGTTCACATCATCATCATTTTTGGCATCATCCAAAATGTCCTCATTATCAAATTCATCGAGATTCTCAAGATAGTGGTCTGGGAACAGTATCACCATCCTCTTCAAAAGTAAGTGTTATTTCACTTTTCACACCACTTGTTATCGTCAGGATGCTTGAAATTGATGTAGTGTTACTCTGTTTCAAATTCGTAATTTGCAAATTAATCTCCACTTTACACAGCTGGAGGTGAGATTTCACTAGAGCTCCCTTTGGAAACCGAAATTATTCAGATCACAATATGTTATCTGCTTGATACTGTAAATGGTAATAAAGAAGCCAAACAAAAGTGCATAAAACTGTGCACTACGGACTGATTGAGGTGAGTAGGTCTGTACCACTCACACCAGCCAGTAGTGCTCGCTAGACAGATAAAAGTGATCTAAACACCATAATACCGTTTCACTCGTTTCGGCCTGACTCACCAGTGATGTGTCTAGTTTGACTCAGATTAAAGAGAGGAATCAGCTCAAACCGTCCAATTTCTGGTCGATATGAGTGATATTATTATAATGGTATTATTATTACCTTGGGTTCCCTGTGGAACATAGGGCTTCAGCAACACATCTCCACTTTGTCGTGTTCTCCACTGTCTGCCCACAATTGCCCATAACCTCTAATCTCCTCCTCGCACGATCTCCTCCATGTCACCCTCACACCGACGACCCACTCGTAGTCTCCCATTCCGCTTCCACTCAAGTGATGGCCTGCATTGCGCGCGATGTTATTCGACAGTCTCCGCCTTCTCCTACATATTGATTGAGCATTCGGCTCCTGGTTAGTTTGTTCTCATATGTACTTTTTTCGTGCTAATTTTTTCTCGTTGGCCATTCGATCTTCAACATAGAGGCAGCGAAGTAGGCAGCTGTTGATGAAAGTGTGCAGTGGCCTGTTGGAAATGCTTTTCGTGATGCAGCAGTGGCCATGCTTCTGATCCATATAGAAGAAGTGACTGACTTCACATTTGTGTTGAAAGTCTGAATCTTGTTCTTACTGCCGTGGAGTGCAGAAGACTTCCACACTGGTTTCCGATTGATCCGATTTCCGATTCTGGTTGGCTTTGACATCTTCATGCGTTTCGCCAGTAGTTGAGACGATGCCTTCTAGATAAGCGGAGGAAGTGACCTCTTTCAAATTCATTTCGTTGATAGTGATTGGTGCCGTTTGTTGTTGCTGTTGGTTGGTTAGCTTCATTACCTCTGTTCTCTCTATGTCTACTTGAAGTCTTGTCTTCACTGCTTGTTCTTCCAACTTGTTGGTTTTCTCCTGGGGAGTCCACTTCTTTTTTCACCCCTACCCTCCTAAACTCTCCACCATCATATGCATTAATGCACTCTGTTGTTCTGTGCTGTATGTTGTCTCTATTCCATTCTTGTTTCCAAGCGAAATCTGAACTTACCAATCTTGTCGAATTAGTGTATAATAAATAGTTACTCTTTTAACACATAATAATTGGTTTTAGCAACATCTTTGAAATTATGGTGCCTATAATTTCTATATATAACTTGAGTTTTCTGTGAAAAGTTATATGTAGAAGTTTTGAAACTTATAATTGACCTTTTAGGATGTACTCAGTTGAAGAGAATTGACGAAATAAACTAAGCTCGTATTATCCTGCATAAATGTTCGATCTTTCTTCATGATTCATAAGACCGAAACTTACCCTGTTTTATTATAAAACCAATAAAGTTATTTATTAATAGGCTACAATATGGAACACGCATGAGTGGACTTCTCTTTAGTGTCAATTTTGTTAAGTTGGTTCCTTACACTTAAGTGAATGTTTTGATGAATGTCATAGAGATATTAAATTTGTCATGTATCAACACAGTGTATTGAGTATACTGTCAACTTAGTCAAATTCACTGTTACTCAACCGCCAATAGCAATTCTATGCAGTTGACAATGAGCTACACTTTTTATATGAGGATTGGTTGTACTATCTGGGGATGCTTAAACCTCGGTGCGTTAAGCGGGTGTCTAACCCTTGACCCACTGGTTGGAAGTCGATCCCTTAGACCATTGAGTCACAGTTCCACTAGTATACTGTGTATACAATTCTTTTGTACTTTTTATTGTATCCCACTTGATATTAGACTAACTGTCAGTTTGTTATTATTTTATTCTTTGTGTCATTCAGTTTCAACTGCAGTGTACATCAGATGGTTGTAATTTCAACCATTACAAAAGTAATGCAAACAATACTGATATATATTCATCTGAACGTTTATCAACTACAAATCTACCAAACAGAGTTGGTCAACAATATCCTTGTAAATCATTTTCATCTATACTTTCACCACCTTCTTCTGTACTACCTTCATGTTGTTGTCGTTGTACAACATCAAATAATACACCATCGAAACCTATTTTTATTGATCCATCAGATTTCCAAACTCATCATCCTACACAATCCCCGTTATCTTTTCCAACATGCGGTGTCCTGTCAATGGCAAGTAGTAATAATAGTTACTATTATCGTAATCCTTGTGATCAATCTTCTTCTCTTTCTTCTTCTTCTTCTTCTTCATCACATAGTCATAGTATTCTGAATTCTGTAATTCCAAAAGAATTTAAGTGGTTTCGTCGTAACAAACCGGTATGTTTCATATTTGTTTTTTATCATATATGGTTGACATGTGTTCAGATTTTTAAATTCTAAATGGTGTTTGGTCTGTGTTTCAGGCTTTCTTCCGATTGATTTCTTATCTTTCGCAGTGAAATGCTAGTTGTAAAGCTATCGTAAAAAAATACGAAATGATATCATGTCGCAATATTTGTCTTCTTATTGTCTTATTTAAAATTTATTAAAGGGATTGTTTCAATTGAAATAGAGTTGTGTTGTGTCAGTTGGCTTGCGCAAACCTGATGCAAACTTTGGTTAGCACTAACAATTTGAGCAAATACAGCGTTTCTTATGTGAATATTTGTATTTTAATTACCTTTTCTATCTTTACTCTTTATTCGACTTCCGTAGAGAAATTCGAAATCGTTTCACGATTATAGATGACCATTGAGATGCTTGACAACTATCTGGCTGAATCTTTTCTGTCAAATACTAAGAATTCATTTTTATGCATAGATTTCTGTGAATTGTGATTGTAAGCTGGCACACTCGTATTGGTTACATACCAAAATCCATATACATCTAATAGAGAGAGAGAATTAGATTGACTTGTAATCTTTCATAGATGTGATCAAAACAGGTTGATAAACCATTCCGTTTGTTCGGATTGTGGAGTCTATGTACACCACAGGTTTAGAATCAGGGCTTTTAGAGCTCCCCTAGGTAAACCATCATGTCATCAGACGCTCGGATTCTCCCTTTCACTTTTTTGAGGAATACCTCTGCTGCGTGAAGTCAGTGAATAGGCCTTGCCTGGCAGAGCCCATAAACTCACGGCCACATGACAGCATTTCGAGAAGCAGACCGAAGTCAACGCACCCTTGGCTGCACCAGGTAGTTCATGGGAGCAAATATTATCAGGGCAGAGCGCAGGCGTATATAGCATACAATCCTCTTCGGATCTTGGACACAACCACACAACGACACTATTCTGTCGCATTTAGCAGATACGGCAACAAAAAGTCACAAGAACACCATCATAGCATGTGACAGGGTAGGTGTCGCAATAAGTCATACTGCCACTTTAACTAAGATCATTTAAGAAACTACAATTTTCTTAGCACATATCTTGTTTGAACAAACAAGTGTTTGCCCAGAATTACTCCCCTAACCTTTTCAGCAATCATTAAATATAATCGTCTCATATTTGGTATTATTTCCGTATCACTTCACACATTCGTATTTGTAATCTTTCTCATAACAGCAGTATGGAATATTTGTATAAGAAGCTAGTTGTTTCAATGTGTTAAGAAACTTTTATTGTATGCAGACAGTACCTGTATTAAAAGCTTCTAAACCTTTCTATTATGATCTTAGTCAAGTATTTCGGTATTCAAAAATGTATATTCTCACTGCCTCATAGGTTTGCATTAATTAGACTTCGTCATTTTATAGAGTAAGCATTTCCTTATATTCTTGAGTCTATTGATTCGCTGTATAATTTATATAAATACTGTGTTTTTGGAAACTAATAAGCTGTTCTCTATGTAGTATATTTGAATTTGTTTTTTTTCAACTCTCACTTCACAAAAATGTTTCTACTTTCCTGTTGTCTGTTTTCATTTCCTATGTAGCTTAAATTGTTCGGGTATAATCGTTTTTCAACGGAAACTCAGACTAATTCTTCTTTACCACCGTCGATAGCATCATCTGCACCACCACCTATGCCACCGCCGCCTCCTCCTCGTCTTCCTCCACCACCCCCTTTTTACTGTTCAGTCAATAACAGCTGCAATTCAACTCCGCATACTTTATCTAATCCTCCAAGCAATAATAATAACTTGGTAACATCGTCCTCATCATTGCATTTAGAATCTCAACAGCTGTCTGTAAGTTGGTGTTTTACATCTTCAGTATGCGTTATTTTTGTATGTCTGCATGGTCTTTATTCACTTAGTTTCCTTCATATAGGCGCATAAATAGTAAATTAGTATTAGTGTGCTCAATAATAATTATTATCATTCCCTTAGGTTCCCATTTGATAGCCTCAGTTCACACATCAATGAAAATTTTGAATTATTATTATTATTCTCCCAGGTTCCGGGTGGAACGTAGGGCTTGGGCAGCATATCCCTATTTCTTTGTGTCTTCTGCATTCTTTTATTCATCTGACTCCATGATTGCCCATAATCTTTCATCTCCTCACACAATCTCTCCTTCTTGTGACCCCTGGACACTCAACTCGTCGTTTCCCACTTAGGCTCGACTCGAGGACCTGGCGCGTAATGTGTCACTCAACGGTCTCCTCAGTGTATGTTCCTTGTGCATATTTGTTGGGCGATAGCTTCTTGGTTGATTCGTTACCAGAGTTCCTTGTTGCTTACCCTTTTGTGGCCATCTGACCATCCTCAGTATGGAGCAAAGACACGTGTTTATGAATGTCAGTTAGCAATGCTTTTGGTGATGCATGTGGCAAGTCTGTGAAGCATATAGAAGCAATGGCTGATTTAGCATTAGTGTTGATAATTCGGATCTTGGTACTTTTTTTTTTTAATTTAACTTTTCCATATATATTGACTCGACAAGTAAATGTGTGATCAGATTGTTCGAAATGTATAGCGCTAATACATCAAATTTTTCAGATAATCTCCGTCTTCTAATAATGCTATCAAAAACTTTTGTTGATTGTCTATTTGTTGTCCCTGCCTATGCATCAACGGATTGCAGCCCGGATGCAATGAAGGATGAGTTCTACCACCAACTTAGCGATCCCTGGAGACAGACGGGTCGGAGGGATATCGTAGTGCTAGCTGGGGACTTGAGTGCACAGGTCGGGCGTCTAAGCTCAGAGGAGAATCGTCTAGGTGGTCAACGGGGCTTACATGGTCGCAGGTCAGATAATGGGGACCGTCTTCTGCAGCTTTGCGCAGATCACAACCTATTTCTAGCCAGCACCAACTTCCGGCACAGCCATCACTGTAGCGCTACCTGACTTTCTCCCTCTGCGAATCTAGCTTGGACTCAGATTGACCGTATTGTGACCAGTTTCCGGTGGCGAGGATGCATACAAGACTGCCGCTCCTTCTGGAGCACATGCCTGGACTCCGATCATGCGTTAGTGTGTGCCCAGTTTGTCTTGCGATTTGGTGGGGCTCATAAAAGGTGTCGTCTAAACGTTGATGTGAGCAAACTAGTAGCACTTGCTACTTCTTTGAAATACCAGAATGAGTTACAATCAATGCTTGCCAGCAACCCCCCAAGTAGTATAGATGAACATTGGCTTCATCTGCAAGGTGCCGTGCAAAGGGCGAGTGTAGCCGCTTGCGGCTTGAAAGAATGCTCCTCCAAAAACCACTGGGTTTCTACAAGTTCCTTGCAACTCCTGGATGAACGCCGGTCGACTCCGGCTGGCGGCGAATATAGCAATAAGTGAAAGGCGCTGACGCACAAGATAAGACAGTGTTTACGAAAGGACCGCGAAGCCTGGTGATCAGAACGTGCGGGTGAGGTGGAGTCAGCTGCTGCATCTGGCAACAGTCGGAAGCTGTTCCAACTCATCCGAGCCACCGGCAGCAAGAAACAAGGTGTCAGCGAGACGGTCTGTGAGGCAGATGGCACGCCAATCACCAGCTTGAAAAGACGCCTGGAACGCTGGGCAGAGCACTTCGGGAAACAGTTTAGCTGGCCACCAGCTTCAATGTCTGCTGTCATTAGCCCCAGTCCTCCATGGTCGGTTAATACCGACCCACCCACCGAAGCGGAGGTCCGTAAGGAACTCCAAGTGTTAAAACGCCATAAGGCGCTCGGCCCAGACAATTTACCCCGGGCTCTTTTTAAAGATGGTGGCGAGACTCTCACAATGGCTCTAACTGGTTTGTTCAGGAAGGTATGGGAAACTGAGAGTGTATTATCAATGTGGAACGAAGCCATTATCGTCCCCATCTTTAAAAACGGTCGACGTAATTCGTGTGACAATCATAGGGGTATCAGTCTGCTACCAGTCGCGTCCAAAATATTGGCTGTTGTCTTACTTCGCAGGCTGTGCAAAATACGCGAAGGATTGATTCGCGAAGAGCAGGCTGGGTTTCGTTCAGGTCGTGGATGCATTGCTGATGTGTTCACCCTTCGTCAGTTGTTGGAACACCGCCACACATATTGCAGACCAACGATCGTTGTGTTTCTTGATATTAGGGCTGCCTTCGATTCGTTGGACAAAACTGTGCTCTGGAACTGTCTGTTAGAGAGTGGTGTACCTGAGAAAGTTGTTGACATCTTGAAAGCCGTATACAGAAACACCTCAGGTAGAGTGAGCGCATACAACCAACTATCATCACTGTTCCCAACCAACAGTGGGGTTAGACAGGGTTGCCCAATCTCTCCATTTCTCCTTAACTTTGCCATCGATGACATTCTGGAGTCAGCTCTGAAGGATGTGCGTGAAGGTGGTGTAGATCTGCTACCTGGAGATAGACTTTTCGACCTCGAGTATGCAGACGATATCGTCTTACTGTGCGATGGCATGCAGGCTGCCCAAATCGCACTTAATCAGTTGGCGATCAGTGTCTGTAAGTATGGTATGTGCTTTGCACCGTCTAAGTGCACAGTACTGTTACAAGATTGGCAGGAGCCTGTACCTGCACTCACTCTTGCGGGTGAACCGCTTGAAGTTGTTGATAAGTTTGTGTATCTGGGTAGTTGTGTGTGCTGGCGGAGGGGTGACGGATGAGATTTCCAACCGTATAATGAAGGCTAGGGTGGCATACATCAACTTGAGCCACCTCTGGCGCCGTGTTGTCAAAGGTCGGGCTGTCTTGCTCTACGCCTGTGAAACCTAGCCTCTCCGAGCTGAGGATGTGTGGCGACTCTGTGTGTTCGATCATCGCTGTCTCCGCAGGATTGCTTGCGTTCGATGGCATCATCGCGTGAGTAATTCTGAGGTTCGGCGGCGTGTGTTTGAACACAGTGGAGATCACCATTCATTGAGTGTCGTCATCTGGAAACACCAGCTCCGGTGGCTTGGACATGTGCTGCGAATGTCACCCCAGAGGCTTCCGTACAGGTCTCTGTTCGCTGGCCAGCCCTGGGACGGGATGGAAAAGGCGGAGGGGTGGTCAGTCCATGACGTGGCGTTGTGGGATGAAGGACTTTCGTGCTAGATTAGCATCGGTTGGTGCGTCATGACTCCCTGGTTGGGGTCCGCGAGATAGCTCGAAACGTTATCGGATATGGCCGAGAATCGTAATCAATGGCGAACGTGTTGCAATTTCCTTCTTTCTTCCGTTCCTGATGATAGTTAACGAATACTGTTTGAACTTGTTAAACATGACTGTTTTCCTTCGAGATGAAGTTCTTTATCCGTTTTCTACTTATATTTTTACTTTTAATCTATGTTGTTTTATTATTATTGTTTGGCGCACCTTTCTGGGTTCCATATTGTACCAACCTTTTTTTTCTTTAGCGTTTAAATAAAAAACAGCCATGTAAATTACTTGGTATGGGGCATATTGCATATCATTGATAAAATATCCATTTTAAGGCTTGTGACACTTCACCGTGTTGTTAAAACAGTTTCGGAGTTCCTTCACAGCCAACAATTTCAAAGGCTTTTTTCAAATCTATACAGTGGAGGTAAAGATTTGACTGCCACTGTATGCTCCGTTCAGTGATGATGTGTATTCAACTATCCAGTAATTTTTTTCTTAGGTATTAGGCTATTAGTCGGACTCAGTATTATAAAATGAATATGACAGTGCTTGGTTTTGTTGGCCTAACTATGCAGAGTTCTGGGTGAAAATAGGATGCTTTGTTTTTAAGTTAATTGTTTATCTTTAGTGTACCTGATTCTTATTCTCAGTGATAAGTCAATAAAATTCAACAAACGTTTTACATTGTATCATAAAATATTTCGTATATTCAATGGAACTGTGTTTTTGATTGGACGCTAATCAGTAACTAATGTAATGTGTGTGTATGTGTCAAGGCTTCCTGTCGATTGCCTCCAACCATCTAATACCAACCAGTGGAACTGTATACAACATTTCATTTTGTTTGCTTATTATTATCAGTTTAACCTGCAACAACCGCTTTTTTCTAAATTCATTTTTATGACTAAATAACAAAACAAACCGTTGTCTGTTAGGCTTCATAAGGCTCCCTTAGTGATAATGATACAATTGAGTGCAATTCAGTTCTTCCTGATGATCTACTGATTAAGAACAGTTATGAAAAGCGTTACAATATTATGCTACTAGTGGTTATCATTATTTATTCGAAGGTATTTGTGTTAGTGTTTTCTGATCAAATGATCATTACATTTAAGATATGGAGTTCATCATCGGTGTATTTAATCTAAGACAACTTATTCAAATCACCTCAAAAGTGAGCGGCTGTGGTTAGATATTATTTAAACACTTAAATAGGAAATAGTTTGAGCTATAATTACTTCAAATCCATAAATAGTGAAAAGTATGATATGTGTCTGATTTCCCACAAACTGGAAGATATACAAGTGAAAAGCAACAAGTTGTCAAATGAAGCATCATAGATAGGACTTCAGGTGAACATAGAGAAAACAGACGTGATGAAGATTCCTGGCCAACAGACAACATTCAGCATAAATGGGAGGAATCTGAAAGAAACAACCTCCTTTACCTACCTGGGAAGCTTCGTTCCAACTACAGGCGGAACTGACGAGGATATCAAAGTGAGGATCCGGAAACCAAGGCAAGCTCTCGTTACCTTCAAGTCTGTGTAGAGATCAACAGCACTCAGCATGAAGTAATAAAATCCGGATTTTTAACTCTAATGTGAAGTCTGTGCTACTATAGGGATCAGAGACTTGGAGCGTCACGAAGAGCACTTCGAACAAACTACACACCTTCACCAACAT